AACTAGACAGTCACCTTCCCATCAATTTTCCAGTGTTATTTAAAAGTCACTGTTGTAATAAATCGTGCGGAGAGCAATAATGATAAAAAGGTGGTTTATTACTTATGATTAACAACAATACTTTAGTTCTGTGAGCTCTCTACTTCTGCTCTGAACATGATGAACACTGATGGCAGGATTCAACACTGATCATGTCTTCTTGGCACCAGAAACCAATGCCAACACCATGTGCGTGAGCGGGAAACTACACTCCAAGAATAACTGGCTGCCATGTTGAGTCCCCTAGAGGAGCTGAGAACTCAGCAGAAAGAGGCAAAATGTGGACTTTGGCACATGCAAGTGCGACAGCGTCGGAGAGGGGATTTCACAACCGCCTGGTACTCAAGACACAATGAGCGGAAATGGCGTTGATGAATCAACTATGTACTGTTTACAAGAAAAAGTCGTGATTTGTTTACAGGGATAGGACAACTCAGCAGACAGAAATGAGCAACAAGTTATGGTTCCACCATATGAAGTTTTGTAGAATTTTTTATGACTACAGATCATATTCATAAAATTCATCTTGATTTAACAACAAATCACCCTCATTTAAAGCCACTACCATCAATTTCTATCCTTTTTCCCCAAAGTCTGGTAGGATGACAACAACAGCTACAACAGGAGTTTTCACACCTTGTAACTGTCGGATCAGGTGGATTTCATTAAATATTCAGCCAGGATAACAATCAATGACTACATTACCTTTTATTTAGAAATTTTTGCAATGGACTCCAGTATGTCAAATCTATAAATCTATAAATGTTTTTCTTTTCGGTGTGGTTGAAAGAAAATTGTCACAGATTCCACATTTGATTAGTAAAATAAAAAGAACTTCACTTTGTCTTTGTCTTAAGGGCGCCACTGTTTTTGGTTCCATATAAATGTTTTTAGTCATAAATGCCAGTGATGTGGGCCTCAGGACGGCACAGCCAGATGGACCTTTCATCCAGCACCACTGTCAGGTAAACATTTCAGTTTGTCTAATACTTGTATAAGTTGTCTTAGATGGAGTATATATGCTGAATCTTTAGAGATTCATTATGTTCACTCAGCAACAGTTCAGACATCTTAAGATCCTTCTATTCTTCCAAGGGCAGAAACAAGCCGCAGTGACAGTTTTTTTTAACCTATACAACACATTTACGTGTGAAATCATTAAATATGCAGTGTGGCACTCAAACTGTATAACAACCATTTACAACCTGGAAACGGCAAGTGAACCACAGTTACTCCAGAACAATATTCACACACAAACACACATTTCAGCAAATCCTAAAATACACACCCTTATCACCAAGTCTGCTGCATGTGTAAATCCGATGATGATCAAGTAAAGGTTTATTCCATGAAACAGACATTCTGATTTCATTTTGGACTTGTACGGTGTGACATTTTCGCATTACTTTATCATTATTTTCATCATCAACTTCAGCTTTTGCATTAATATGAAAACAAAACAACTTTCAAATGAAGAAATTGATATATATCAGACTGCTTATGCAGTGTGCACTCTTTTTAATTTGTGAAGAAATATAGTCATATTAAAGTTCATTTAGTGGCAAACAGACCACATTTTTTGAGTACTGTGTAATTTTAAATCAGATCTGCAAACATTTATATATTGAATAGTCACATACCCTTGGCAAATGAATTTCTGAGAAATGAATGAAAATGACCAGAGCAAGTTATAAAAGCAAAACCGAGAATTGTTTCTGGAAAGTTTGACCACAAACAACCACATGGAAATATCTGCCTGGATGGAATCTCTCTGATAAAATCTGCGCAACAACTCAAATATTTCTTACTGGCTGTCTCATCTGGTGGCAGGTAAACATAAGGTTAGAGCGAATCAAAGAGGTCACTCTGTTTTCTTTAATTGTTATAGTTATTTCATTGAAGATGAAAGAACTCCTGTTTCTTATAAACAGGAATAATAATTGTACGACAGAAAGAAAGAAAAGAGAAAGATAGAAAGAAAGAAATCCTTAAAAAAAAACAACGAGCGACTGTGAGCCATGAAATTGCGCAACTCGTCTCTTCACATTGCCTTGATGAAACCTTTCATTTGGAATAATTAACCCCTATCGCTCTAGTCCTCTGTCCTATCCTCCTCCATCGCTTCGTCTGCCTCTTTCATCTTTTCACGCCCTCCTTCCACTGCGATGGTCCGGCAGCTGAGAGAGGAAATTATAATGTTCTCTCTCTGTCTCTCTTTCACACTATCTCCTCTTGCTTCCTGGCACAACTGGTCATGCATTTGGCTTTTTCTGCTGACATGATTCACAGTAACCACACACACACACACACACACACACACACACACACACACACACACACACACACACACACACACACACACACACACACACACACACAGATGCAACACTGACTCACGCTCTGGTTGTCTGGCTTTCTGACTAACTCGGGGAATTGTCTTCTCCAGGTGGTGGGCTATTATGTGAAAGCATACAACCTCAGCTCATTTGATGTCACCAGTGAGCTTAAGTTTCATCTTAACACCATTCTTAGTACACTGACAACTTAAAAAAAACAAAAAAAAAACAAAAAAAAAAACACCCTGTGACAAATTTAAAAGTTCAGGATAGACCTTTATAAATTGTTTGGAATAATTTAGACCAACATTTCAATAGATAGTCATGACAGTTCTTTCTTGACCTTGCAAACAGACGTTTAAGCAAGAGGTAACAATCCCAGTCCAGGGTCTACTTCATCCAACACAACAACCACTTGTCTATTGACTAGATATTAGTGACATTATTTCCTAAGTCAGAGATTCAAAGCTGCAGTCTAAAGTGCTACCCTGACATTTTCTTGTTGTATCCCTAAATTCACATTCTTGATTAAGTTGATTGAGAGCCTGTTGAGTGGGCCTAGTACCGTAGGTGAACTAGTCCAAGGACTGGAGTTGGGACGAACTTTCCTTAGTGACTGATCGCTTTCAAAATACCTTTAAATGCATAGATGTTTATGTAGCTTTCGCTGCCTCTTTGGCAAATCTGAACAAGCTGTGAACAAATAACACCAACCTTTTTTACACCTTGTAAACTACCCAGACACAGTATAAAAAACCTGTAGCCTCAACTCCATCACTGGTTTATATATGTGTGTGCCACTGCCCAGACAGTTATTTCCAGCCATAAATCTCTAAACTTCATTCATCCTGCAGTACTTTCTCTGATGTATGGATCTTAAACACTAGATACATCCTCAGTCCCTGAATGCTTGTCATTTAGCTGATGCCTTTTTAATGACGCTGTAAACTGTAAAGAGCTTGTTTTTCACAAGTGCCTGAGGAGAGTCAGAATAACACATCCACAGACAAAGCGATACCTGGTCTGTCAAAAAAGTGATGACTCTCTGTGCTACCTGTTATTTTTAGCCTTTCTTTGACACATTTGTCTCATTTCAGAGGATGTAGCTGAGTTTTTAGGGAGGGAACCCCTTCTGATCTCAAGCAAAAAACTGAGCTGGATATGTAGACTCAACTCCTGGGGACTGTGTGGGTGTTTGCATTCCTGTCAGAGTGAGCAGACTGCAGTCTGGTGCCTGCCTCCTTCGTCCCGCAATATAACTTCAAGGACATCACATCACAGGGGAGCCTGGAGGGAGGCAGCGTGATGTATCACTACACCGGACATCACACCTATCCTATCAGAGGAGGATGAGATGCCTCATATTTCACTGCAAAAGCTTAAGTGTCATGATGTTGTTTATTTCCTGAGTAATAGCATATCGATGTGCTAATATATGAGTGTATACTCTCAGAACAATGACTTTCAGATACACCCTCCCATACGATTATTAACTGAATAATAGTTAGACATTCTGGGAGATTCCAGCTGTCTTAATCAATAATATATAATAACATAAACAAAGACTCAAACATTAACTACTTTCCTTTAAAGAACATCATACTACCTATCCAGCAATTTTTTTTGATAAAAAACTATTAATGGGTGCTATGCAGGAGTGTATTTGAGTATAAGTAGTATGGTTGTGTTTCAGTTAGAGTGACCACACGTCCCCAGTTTTCATCTCAGAAATCTTAGTGACAGTGTTTACTGCAGAGTTAGACAAGTGAGGATTAAAATATACCCTGCTGTTCGAAAAAGCAGTATAACTGTTACATTTCAGTATTTAAATGCCCTTAACAACAGACTTTTCTGACACCTCAGCACTTTTTTAGGGCCAGGTCAGATGTATGAGAGCTTTCGTAAGACTTAAGTCATAATTACAACTTGGATGTGAATGTTATTTTGTATAAGAAATAACAGCAATTATTGTAACTTTGATATGACATGTGGCATTAGTCACTTTCTTGCTGAGAGTTAGATAAGAAGTTTGATACCACTATAGCAGCTGATTAGCTTAACTTAGCACAAAGCCACCGGCTAGCCATGACTCTGTCCACAGTTCACCTAAATCCACCTATGAGCATGTCTAATCCAATTTAGTGTTATATTGCTCCTTACAACCTTTTTCTAGCTACTATTAAGTTGTAGTTATTTAGTCTTCAAACCTTACTTAAGTGAAGACAGCAAAGGATTAGCCTAAACAATGTAAATTAGGTAAAAGACATGGTTCCAGTAAATTCTTAAAACGTGTGGATTTGCACTAGAAACACGAACTACCTGAAACCTTGTGACCACCGCTGTCAACTTCATTTTTTCACTTGTTTTTTATTTAATTTTTAAGCGGTGATTCAATTTGACCATATGGTAGTTTTCTATGTGAATTTTGGCAGGACAGAGTCCTTGTGTCATATTTCTCCTCCTTCCCTCCCTCGGTCTCTCTCAGCTCTCCGCCCATCAGTGTATTGGCAGTGTGAGGCGCACGGCGCACAGCGTGGACTTGGAGATGTCTTGGCAGGATTACGCACGACGACAAGATCAACGCGAAAGCCTCTTTTAGCCAGACAGGACACTTTCAAGCTGGACTGGACAGACTTTTAACAATTTGGGAAACACAAATTTTGCAGCTTCCTCAAGACGTTTTTCTTATCTTTTCCTGTGGGACTCTGAGCAACAGCAGCAGCAACAACAGCAGCAGCAGCAGCAGCAGCGGGTCTGGATGACTTCTCCTTCTCTTAGACTCGGGTCACGGTGACTACAGAGGAATGGGACCGATGTAAACAGCTGGTGGGAGAAAACAAACTCTACAGAGCAACAGTTTTTCAGAGATCACAGAAAGAGGGAGGATGATCCCGCCGGCCAACATGATTCAGGACGAAAGTGGGGGCAAAGAGGACGAACGGGACCAGAATGAGACACCAAAATCCCCGACGGCAAACGCCAGCCAGCAGGAAACCAAGGTAGGACTACTCTGTTATTACTTATTTACCACCAGTCGGATATACTGTGTGATCGCACTGTGCGTCAGTCCAGCTCTTATTAATAGAGCAGGGTAAACAAACTTCTAACATGACAATAAAATCGACTGAACGGGGATCAGCTCAAAAGAACAACAACATTCATTTAAACTCTGTCAGTCTGATCAGCCTTTTAAAACAGCTTCAACAGCCTGATCCTGATTACATGCAAGGGCGATACCGTACCAATTACACTGATAGAGTTCAACAATATCAGTTGTACAAATAGGACAAAAACACGAACAAAACGCGCTTGAAGTGCCATAAAGAGTCATTACAGACTCGTTTTCAGTACAACACAACACCGTCAGTGTGTAGGAATACCATTAGAATAACATCATGACACCTTTAAATAAAGATGAGATCAGTTTAAACTCACTATTGAGTACCACACTTACTCTTTCTATCTTAATTTTTACTTTAATAGAGGGGTAGCGTATTTTTTCTTTAGGAGAGAGACTAAAACCTGTGTAAGATCACCAAATTGGAATTATTTGATGTAAGATTAATAAGGATGAAACATGTCCATGGTGTGCTTTAGAGGCAAATGAAGCAATATGATGTTATTATTATGGGTATATTAATAAAAAAAGTGGCATGTCGGTTTTTACTTTCTACTTGTGGCTGATACAGAAAAGTAGGCTGTTTGATAGAGATCCACAGCTGCCTCAGGCGTTTTGCCATCTATGTGGGTCACATGGTGCCCAGACTACTACAATTAGCAGTAAAATATTGGACTAGTCATCATGCTAGTGGATGGCTTGAATAGTTCTCCTCTCCTCTCCCCAGAGCTCTCACAAAGGACAGATGAGACTCATACTTTCTTTCTTTGACTGTTTGTGAAGATAAGACTTTTGCATTCGTGTAATCAGTCATCGCTCAGGTTTCTCAGTTGCAGAAGGGATGACAGAGATGATTTCCTCTGTTGCATTATGTCTTTTAAGGCACGAGCATGTGAGCTCTTACTTTGGCATGTGTAGTCAACAGGGTATTTCAAGAAACTCCTGGCTGACTTTTCACATAATATTGAAGCTTCTGCCAAGCAGCCACACTCACTTCCAATATCATAGGCGGAACAGCTCAGACAGACAAAAAAAAAGTGATTTAAGAAATAGTTTCATCATTTTTACAGACAGGATAAGTAGATCGAGCTCCTTAGTTGGCTGAACAAGTTTGCTACCATTAAGTAAAGCTGTGTTTGTGTTTTTATTCCTCCTTTAAGAATACTGTGAGGCCTGAACATCAAAAGCGCAAGGTGAGCCTAAACTCTTGTGCAAACTGTAGAGTACTGCTGATTTTAGTCCATCGTAACGGCATACCTGCATGTACATGAAGATAAAAGCTGTTTCACATAACAACTTTTACTGCTTTTAAATGATCACTTAGTTATGTAGATGCTACACAAGGTTAAAAATCCATCACCCCCCATATTTGTAGAGGGCACTCATTGGTCGAACGCTGCATCAGTAAGTGTATTCATGTACAGTGATTTGACATGTTATCTTACGCAATAACTGGCTTTGTTTTTTGTTTGTTTTGCATTACCCTGCTCAGCCCTCATTAACCCTCCCGGCTTTATGACAGAATACATCTCTTATGGATTTGATGCCATTAAACACAGCATGAGCTCCTGGATGCATGCACACATTCCCTCACTTTGCTGATTTTGCGATATCTTTATTTATTAAGACTGTTTTTTAATTAGAAAACCATATAAAACCACCTTACAGGAAAGTGTAGTATCTTTTACCATCACAGCATTTATAGATAAGTATAACAAACAAAGATTTTACAGAAAAAAAACTGTACATCTATCCAATTTAGTTATCTAGAACCAGCTGTGTTTATATTATCATTATGTTTTACCGCAAATTTTATTTTCAGGGTATGTAAAAGCCATGCGATTGAAGAGCTACCGTAGGTTGCAGGGAAATGTATGTGTGCCTGTGCGTACGTTCATGTGTGTGGGTGGTAATGGCAGAGAAAGGGTCTAAATTGATTGTTCCCAAAGTGAGCTGTGGAGCTGATTGATCTTCACCATGCCAAAGCTGCAATGATAAGCACTCTAAGCAATTTGCTAAGGCATGTTTGCCAAAATATCAACAGCAAACAATATACAGTTTGAATGTTTATTCTCCTTATAGTATGACAGTCTAAGGCTGGGATTTCAGAAGAATATCTCGGCTCAGAATCGGTTGATGTAAACTGTGTCTGTGTGTACATGGCTATTACTTCGTAGAAAACAAACTTCGAAGAGGACTGGTCAGCCTCGAGCAACCAGCAGAACATCAGTTAATCCCAACAGGTGTTTACCTGTTTACAGTTTTACATTCAGGCCTGTACTGTATGCTAGGATATAACGGATCATTAGGAGTCCTTCCCTTCCTTCTTCAATCAGAGACCTACAGCTATACACCAGCCAGAAACCAGAACCATAAAATCATATTTCAGTAGCTTAGGCATTCTTCATTATGTGTGTGAGCCCAGAATTAAGTGGGTTTCACAGGGGAGGAAGTACACACTGAGAGGTTAAATGAGGAGTTGTCACTGTGGAGCATTATGAATAGCATTACTGTAAAATAGGAGGCTAATGAGATTGATAGAGGCTGTGGCCAGAAACGACGGCACAGCTTGTGAGAAATAGTGTTGGTATAATGCATGGGCCTAACCTGGAAATCACATTATCCTCCAGGTAGGGAACCTCGAAGGTTTTCCACTGAGCAGTAATGAGTTAACCGTAGAAATGTACTTTTTTATCGGACATCAGACAATGAGACATTTGCTTGAAGGTTTGAAAGACTTTGTAAGCTAGTAATTTATTTAGGTTATTACAGGAATTGATTTACTTCACGTCCCACTTTTCTCTCTCCTCTGTCATTCTCTCTCCTCATGCAATTTCTGTCTTTTTCTCTCCCTCGCTCTAGTTTTCTTCAACTCTTTCTCTCTCTTTTCAGCTGCAGAAACTCAAACGCTCCTTGTCCTTCAAGACCAAAAGCATCCGCAGCAAGAGCGCTGACAACTTCTTCCGAACCAGCAGTGACAACAAGACGGAGCTGCTCTCTGACGTGAGCAGCAGCACGGGCCATCTCTGCAATATCGGGATGGCCCCGCCGCACACCACCAACCTTCCCATCCCTCCTGTCCCTCCGGCAATCCCCTGTGCTCCTCCTCCCACATCACGCTCCCAGTCACGCAACCCGCTGCAGGTAGACTCTGCGGGACACTGCTTTATGGAGCACATCTTCAAGAAGCCCACATTCTGTGACGTCTGCAACCACATGATCGTAGGTATGGTAATGATGCCTCCCTCCTTCATTAGTGTGATGAGAATATCAAACAAAGCACAGTGACAAGATCATAAGAGAAAACACAAGAAAAATCTGCTGCACATCATCTAATGAACTGTGCAATCACAGCGTTTAGAGTAACCTTTTCATAAGGAGACTTTCATTCGTTTCTGTTTCAAGACCATGATATCACAACGAAGCTGTAAGTGAAACTTTTGTCATCAGAGTTAAAATTAGAAGGTGATAAATATGTAATACTATGCACATATGGTATGCAAACAGCAGGAAGTAAGAGGTTACCGTTTCCTAAAGTGTGTACCTTTGTTTTTGTATTCTAAATACAACATTGTTATGCAGTGTGAATAGTTTGCAGAGCATTGACAATCACACACACGCACGCACACGCACACACATACACAATATACTTTCACACATACAGACAGTTAGGCACCTCACTCTGAGTATCCAACCTGACCTGCTGACATGTGACAGAAGTATCTCCGTCCTCCTCATTCACACACCGAGCTCTGTCCCTCCATCTGTCTACTGAGTTGTCAGGTAGTCAACAACTGCCATGCCAGCTCCTCTGCTGGTTCTCCCCTCGCCAGATGTTTCGGTTTCTCTCGCTGCTCCCTTGCTTGTTAACCGTCAGTACTGAGGGACCACTAAGTCTTTATATCCCTGGGCCTCTGCAGCACGATAATGACGAAGGCTGTCCGTGCCATCTGCTCAACAAGCCCCTGATATAAAGTTTGGTAGCAGATAAAAGACGTCAGACTGGTGGGAATGTACTGTAGGTGGGTTAAAAAATGTGCATGTAAACAAGCACATGTATACTACAGTAAAATCACAAAATACATCAGTTTTCCAACAGTCTTTGATTTTCCTTTGCACAATTGAAACAAATGAGATTGTCCCATATTCAAAATATTCATTTTAAAAGCTGTGTCCAGTTTTAAATCATAAGGTTGAACTCAGTATTTCCTTTTTTTCTAAACTAAGAAAGACAAAGTTCTTAGTTGGGTGATTATGTTTCTCTAATCTCAGTTCCCAACCTGACGTTGTAATGTCTAATGTGAAAGGGGTCACACATAGAGAGAGAGACTTTTCACCCGACTCTGCAGTTCCTCTCAACTCTGTGGAGCTTTATAGCATCCTTCAGCTCATTGTTTTGGTGTTATTGCCCACAACTTTACATTGGTTGCGGTTCACTTTCATCAGTGTTTTTTCCAGCCGCAGGATGCAGCTGCTTTCAGACAAAAAGCTCTACACTCTGCACTGTACACTACTTGCCTGTACCAAATGGCAGACAGACACCATTAGTGACTAGCTGGTGAACATGGTAGAACGTTTAGCAGATAGTTCCCTCAGGAGTTGATAGAGATCAAAAAGTTAAAAGAGAGTGAAAATTAGACTCACATTCATCAGGTCGACACAAACAACTCAAAATGGATGCTAATGTTGCTCCATTTCACATGGATGTGAAAATAACCAGCTGTTTACTAACAAGTTTGCTATATCAACGGGTGATAATGTGAAAAATGTGTTTAGAAGTGGTTTCCACAGCCCCCAAGTGGCCAAAAAAAATAATCAATCAATGCAGGTTTAATGTTAGCTGGTTTAATTTGCACACTTAGTTTACAGCATTGAGCAGCCAGGCAAACATGATAGCACAGGTGTCTGATGTGTTTTCCACCTTGATAGATTGAATTCATAGTGGCTAGACATGATGTGCTCACCACTTTCCTCTCTGCCTTTGACTCTGAAATACAGAATTAGTGTGTCATCATGGATTTAGTTCAGAGGCTGGCAAGCATAAAATTATTGGAGAAACAGAATTCTTATAATTTCTGACACAACAAATCTATTTTTCTATCCACGGTTTAGTGTCACCAAAAATCCATACTGGCTTTGAATGCAAAACAACTAAAGTAAAAAGTAAAACTGAACTCAACTAAACAAATTTACATGCTTATGACCAGTATTGCTGACACTGGTCTGGTTTATGTGTCCTAGCCAGTGAGGCACGTCCAGTGGCCATAGCTTTGAATGGCCCTCTGGTGATCTGTTGGTAATGAAAGTGTGATGTCAGGTCTGCCTGGCCCTGTGATAGGTGCTGTGCCCTCTGTTGCACTCGTGAAAAAAGATGCTGCCCTCTTCTTCATTTGTCCTCTTTTAATGAGAACATGGCATGGTCAGCAGAAGGGGGGGGGGGGGGGGGTTTTGGGGGGGGGGGTTCTGTGTGTGTGTGTCTGTGTGTGTGTGTGTATAATGAGCTGCAATAGTGCTGTCAAAGTCTGACTCAGTGTCCCAGAGTCAAAGACCAGCACACAGGAGAGATAGCGAGACTCAAACTGATTCAGAAGATTCTGAACTGCAATCACATTGTGATTATTAAATCTCAATGGCTGTTCATTTGAAATTTCTGCTGGTTAGTGGAGTTAAATGGTGCAGTAATTAAACGTGTTTTCTAAGACTGATTAAGGTGGGGAAGGTTCTGTGAACTGGAAAATACTTGTAATCAAATGAAAATTAGTGCATAGTAAACCAAATCCACATTTGTACATCTCACAAAATCACACTGTTGGATCGCTCAAGTACAAAACAGGTGTTTTAAGTACAGATTTCCATTCATGCTTTTGTCAGTCTCATCCTGAACAACAGACTCACAGACCTTTTTGACATTCCTGAGGCCTCAGGTAGCTGATTTAGGTTTTTTAACTTTATGAATCCATGTTTTGCCCGAGTTGTAAAATCAAGAAACCGTATAACCAGGTGTGATAGAAATTTACCATTTAAAACTAATATAATTTAATATATAAAAGGACATAGAAAAGGTGTGATAATGCACTAACTCCACTGCAAGGATCAATCTTATAACCAGTTTCACTGTTTTCACTATTTTTAATAACAGCTAATAGATGAATACCAATATGTTAATATTGAAAAAAGCAGACTGGAAATATTAAAACACCCACTTTCTTCCTACAGGAGGATCCTTTGTTATATAAAAGACTGTACAAATTTAATGTGTCATCCATTATTAAAAAAAGGCTGCTTTATATTATAGTCCTCTCTGAGTCATCCATTAGCTTTACTAGATGAAGGCAGAGTAAACTACATTAGTAAATAATTGATAGAGCCATAAACACATTACCATTTTACTGTAGGCGTTCATCTGTGTTTTTTTTAAACACTTGTACTGTATATAAAACAATACCTTGTACAATGTGTTCAGTTGATGTGACTAATTGTAATTGAACGTCAGGATAAGAAACTGCCAATATATTTAAATCTACAATGCAGCTAGAAGTTACAAAGTTCTTCTTTTATATATATATATATATATATATATATATATATAAATAAATAAAAGCTATTCAGATTTATAAGCTATTCAGATTTTGACGTTTTTTGACAGTGTTAAAAGTGTTATGAAGATCATGACATGATCATGATAACATCATCACATCGTACTTCAATTTACAAATGTCCTTTACAGGTTGACCATGATCATAATTTTTATGCCTCCGTGCTGGAGACAGCTGTGGATGACTTTTGGGCTGGGTTTTTAGGTTGTCTGTGCATCCATACGTCTCGTTCTATTGAACGCTATATCTCAAGAATGCCTGGCACAAACGTCCACTTGGACTCAAGGATGAACTGATTAGATTTTGGCGGTCAAAGGTCAAAGGTTAAGGTCACTGTGACCTCATAAAACAGGTTTTTGGCTTAAGGTCGAGAATTCATATGCTAAATATGATAAAATATACGTAATACTTTAAGTCTTCACAACATATATGAGTCTGGACTAGCTGAGTAGTTAGGGCGGATATGACATAATCATACATATGCTGGGCCTCGAGTCCCTGGTCTGACTCCCGGGTGACCAGACCAATTTTGCTGCTGATCATTCACCTATTCGCTTTCCCCACATATATTGTCTGTCTTCACTGTTTCTAGTCAATTAAATACATCTAATTTATTTGAGAGATTTAATTCAAATTTATTGATTTCACTGAATTAATTTCAGTGAATTTAATAGAGTACAATTAATTAGATTTAAAAATGTCACTCAATTTAATTCAGTTTCATTTAATTGGGCAAAATTCACAAATTTATAGTTTCATTTAATTCACTCTATTACATTTCATTGAGTAAATTTAATATAATTTAGAAGGCCGGGTTAAATAAAAAGATATATTCACAACTTTTAGGTTGTGGATTTACATAAGAAATTCAACATACAGAGCTTAAAAGTTTACAATATATCTAACAATGTCTGTTTTTCTAGAATGACATAGCAGGATATATACAGATGGAATATGCAGAAATTTTAACTATGATTACAAAATCTCACTGTCAGACAGTAATGACTGATCTCCTGCAACAGCTTTTAAAGGTTAGACAGTAATTTACTTTCAAGATCCCTGAAATGCCACAAATCAAGGCATCCAATTCCTAGAATTAGCAAAACAAGTTAAGAGAGTAATCTCACTTGATTAACATGCACTAATCTGTTCTATGAAATCCCTGAATTACACATGACAGGTTTGGTTGAGCCCCTGAGAGAAATTAACCTGGGGGGTCAGGGGTTAAGGTCAGCCAGCAGACAAATGCTGCTGTGATGCTAAATGATGCTTTACCAGTCCTCCCTGTATAAAACATACACACAGACAGACACACACCTCTCACAGTGTGAGAGGTGTGTAGTAGTAGATGTCAGTAGTGTGTTTGGTATTTTATCACAAGCTTGAGTCACTTAGTGTATGTCACCACGCACGTGCATTGTAACAGGATACCACTGCGTTTTGTGACGACCTAGCCCTTCCACTGATCCTCATTGTATCCACTTTACTGTAACGACTGACAGCTGACATTGTCCCACACATCTGTTACAAAAATGCACTATTAAAAGTCAAACTACATTGTTGCTTGCAAGAAAATGTCATCTAAAAAATTCAGCCCAAGAAAAGTTTAAGGAAAGTGAACATTATTTCAAGTTTGAGACTTGACTCATCCTAACTATTTTTAGGCATGTGGGGTTGATGTCTGTCTGTCTGGCTGGCTGGTCCAGACCGAAATATCTCGAAAACTATTTGATGAATTGGCACAACATTTTGTACAGACATCCATGGTTCCCAGAAGATGAATCCTACAGACTTAAGTGATCAGACTTTGATGACCTTGGTGATCTTCTGACTTTTCCTCACGCGCAACCATGAGCTTGAGATTTGTGGTTTTGTGTGACTGTCTTTTTGTATGGATTCCTGTGAAACTTAATGTCTCTTTTAGTGCCAGCATCTGGTCAAAATTTCAATTAAAGTTTGCGGCAGAGAATTTCGGATCGGATATCTTTGCAAGCTGATGCTCCTCAATACTGCAAATAAATTTTATTTCTAAGAACACTTAATGTCACAGCGGAGCACAGCAATACAGTTGATTTCAGATTCAGAAAACCCCTGATCACAGATGGATACATAAAAAAACAGCTATAGTATGGCATCAAGCATTCTATGCTTTATTTCCTTAATTTCCCAGAAGGGGAAATGGTGGGAGAAAATCAAATGGCTGTGGGAGAAACTAATTAAAGTCTGCAAATAAACAAAAGAGATCTGCTCAGGTCAGTGTTGTGGAGGAGCTTAAGAGGGAGAGGAGGTGGAGGAACCACTGTCGCAATGTAGGCTATCTGCACATGAAATCAGGAGGTGTGTAGTAGGATTGGCAGCTTAATGGATCAGTGTATGGCTATTGCAGCTTTATGCAGCTTGAGAGGGGTACTGTAGGGAGGACAAATAGCAAATGGAGGAAGAAACACTGTGCAGGAAAGGATAGGAGAGAAGATGGAGAAAAAAATGTGGCAGGAGTCTTGTTCTTCACTGTAGTGTAAATGAATAATAGACTTTAAAGGCAGAGTAGCCAAGAAAGAGCAAATGCCAGAGAGAGCAACACTGTCAATTCATTTTCCCCACAGCTGTAATGGCTTTAGACCCTGGACTCTTCTCTTAGCCTGGAGGAAAAAGCACCTAAACACACACACACACACTAACGTCATCACCTCGCCATTACCAAAGGAGGAAGACAATGTCAGCTTCTTTTATCGTCCTGCTAAAACACAGCATTGAGTTCATTTCTTAGCTGTTACAAGTTAACGTGGAGGCATCTCACAATTCTCCCATGTTGGAATGAGTCAGCTCAAACAAGCCAATCAACAACAGCTTGACAGGAACTTCATTTGCTTCCTGCTCCTGTGCATCCGCAGAGACAGACAAGAGCTTGAGCCAGGGTGGTTTAAATATACCAAAGAGAAATTCTTTGCTGAATGAGAATGACACTCAAAGTGCTCATTAAGCAACATCATCAGTTGACCTGATTTCGAGTGACCTAAAAATTGGTGCAGGTTGTGCTCATTGCCTCTGCTTCTGCAGCAGTTGTTGTTGTCGTTGTTGCTGTCGGTGATCTGTAGCTGACCGGCAAGGATTCAGGCAAGGATCACATTTCTCTCGGTTTCCGTCTCAGTGTAACCAGCTCTGCCAGCTCAGCCAAGCAACACAAGAGCTTTAAAAATTGGGGGGTGCAGATCCAGTTTTCCAGACATTACTGAGTTTAACTGCTGTCCAGCTCCAGATAGCCGTGACACCAGGTCACATTGCGGCACGTGAAGAGCAAGCAGAGATTTTCTTTTCCCCTCTGCTGGCTGAGTAAATTACACATGAGGGGCTTTGTACTTTAAGCACACAGTGTCTTGTGTTTGCTGTCTTGTTCGGGGATCAGGTGTTCTGCTTGGTTTCATCTTTACAGTAGAGCATTACCTCTGCTCACTGACCCCCCTCGGCCTGCTCATCAAACTGAATATGCTGCATTTTGAGGGTAACCTGGCCTGAAATGCTGATGTTATTTACCTGCCACAATGGCCAGCCACAAAGCACAAAAACACTGACAATCTTTCTGTGATGAAACCTGCATTCGTCAAATCATCTTTTAACCTCCCTTGTGCTCTTGACGCCCACTGAAGTGGATCAATGATTCCTTTGCATATCCATACTTTCACACGCACACATGGACGGTGTGGGCACGTGATCATTGATTAATCAATAAAGAGCTGGAGGCGCATCGCTGCCAGACTACAACTATTGCAGCACTGGGACTTGGTAACAGTGTCCTCCCTTGGTAATGTGGAATAGCTGTCGAATGATACGCCACTGCGGGCTGTAAGTGGTGGCTTTTGTCGTGCTATGTATAACACATAATGGTTTGCAGGTAATTTGTCTTCTCAGGAACCCGTGTCTGCTTTCATCTTCTTTGATAGATCGAGTCCACATGAAAACAAAAGAATATTAATTCACATTTTCACATACTGGTCCTTATACCACTAGCCTCCACTGTCCAGTAATAGTTTGTTATTAGCTTAACTACTAAATAAAAGTTTAGCTCCATCAAACATATAATTTGAATGCAGAATATGTACAGAGTTGATATTTGATGTTTAAGCACTGGCAATGTGACTCTCTCCAAGCATACACAATCTCAGTGGAGCAGATATTGGACTCTGTGCCTACAGGTGGATTGTGGAGCTTATGAAATGTTATATTAACATTTTTTTTGCTGGCTTAGCCCAATTTTCAGGATCTTTTTCTCACCGTGAGCAGGAATATGGCCCATGATGTTTCAAGGTCTAGACAGTAATATCAGGATCTTTTAAATCTTTCGAAGTTAAGGAACCTGAACTTTTGACAGATAAGTGAGGTTGAGCTATTTACCTTCTCAGTCTACTAACTACCTTTTTAATGATCAAGTCCACATTTACTTAATTAAATTTGTAAGATGACCAGTGAAAGCCAGATTTCCCCTGCAGTGATATCACACCCCTTTAATTCCCCAATCACGCCAGTGTTACCTAATTACCACGTATTCATGCATACCTGCCAATTCATATCTTGCCCTTTTGTTGTCTGTCTTTTAGCCTTACAAAGTCATTCACAGTGACAGTCTTAGCTCAGTGATCTTCTTTAAAGACTGAGCTGTCACTGTTGCCATGTGAGCTTTATTCTCTGCAAGCATATCTCTCTTCACAATCTCACATCTCCACCCAAAATTATCATTCTCATTTTTCTGCTCCATCATCTACAGTCTCTTTCCTCTGTATTTCACAGAGGTTATTCATTTGTTATTCACACACACACACACACACACACACACACACACACACACACACACACACACACACACACACACACACACACACACACACACACACACTCAATGCTTAAAGTTTAAATGTTGCGTAACTCTGGTTCGCGAATAAGTCAGATTAATCTTCATTAATTCCAGCAACAGTGAGTCACGTGTTAATAAGTGAGGGTGAGCTGCACTCAGACAGAAGTTTGAAATGGTTTCACATGTTGGAGATAGCACTGGCTCAGTTACATTCGTATTGATGCTTTTGCAGAAGAGCACATCACATGTCACATTAGCTAAATTTTGTTCCTGTTAAAATGTTCCACATGTAATTTTATTTTGGCTGGGAAAGGCTCCAGAAACTCTGGCTTATAGACAATAAATAAATGAATGAGATGGAGTCCAGTTCCTGACAAAACAGATTTGAACCTGTTGCCTCTATTCTGTGTGTGTGTCTCAGGTACCACAGCCAAACATGTGGTGTTCTTGGCGGGAAACACAGCAAAGCATGGCCTGCGTTGCAAAGCCTGCAAGATGAGCCTCCACCACAAATGTGAGAATGGAGTGGGACAGCAGCGCTGCATGGGAAAACTGGTAAGATGTACGACAGAGAAAGATACAAGACATCAAGACAAGATATAGGCGGAACGCTCTTCACTTAGCTGTCAACAATTTGGGAGACTCTGAGCTTCAGGGATATAATAATCGATGTCATTATGAACAACCAAAACAGACATATTGGAGTTGGCTTTCTGACGATTTCCCACCAGAATGTGCTTATTCAGAAATCACACTCTATGTGTGAGTGTGCCGGTACATCTGTGACCACCATCCATCCTCAGCATCATCCTCATGATCGTTATATCATCACTCTGTCGGCCTGTGCGTTAGATAATGGTAATGCAGCACACCATTTACAAAAATTCTGACCTCCACCTCACCTCCGTCATGTTCTGCCGCGCTGCCGTCAGCATATACCATTAAGTCAGGGTCAATATGATCACACTGATGCAGTTTTATAACCACTATTGAAGATCCGTTTTATTATGAGTTTGGCATTTCACAGTTTTCTTTACATGTAAATCAAGCCTTGGTCTTTGTCGAGTTACAGGGTGCAAGAGTAAGATTAGTCATCACTATAAATGATTAAATTCCATATTTTCTAACACCAGCAGAGGTTATGAGTTTGTGAGAAGTTTTCAGTATCACAAAGATGGAGAAGTTGGCTATAATGACTGGTGATAATTACACTGAATAAATAATATAACAGCATATTGACAATCTGCTGTTGTTATCTGCCTGTCCCGGTTCTCAGTTTCTTTTGTTTTGGTTTTGGTTATTAACACTTGAGCATGCTGAACTCTTAAAAGTGTTAGGAACTAGTATTAATTTTGTCAGAAGTCTATAACATATAGTCAATAAAAAAAAGAGAAATTCTGGAAACACACTGGAAACGGCACTGGTCAACCTTAAAATAAACTGGTTTTATTCATCTATAATTAAATCAGTTTACTTGCCTGTTGAGTTTCATAAAAGCCACTTCCCTGCTAATGAACTCTAAAACATTAAATTAGAGCTGATTGGTCGATTTCAATTATGCTTATGTGTCAACATAAAAAGCTAGAGCGAAACTGCCTTAACTGAGAAGAAGAATTTATTTAATAGTTGGTATAGTCTATAAGCTTTTCAGTGCTATTACTTCAGAAATTAGAGGTAATGACCATGTACTGTAATAACCCTTCAACTTAGTAATCGCTATCGTTATTGTGTCATTTCCCTCCTAGAAACACACTTTTTGGAGGTCTATCCTCATTATTGGGTGATGATAAATCAGACTGGGCTATGATGCGATCCACAATCATCATCGCCACTCATCAGCTGTGGATGTGCTGCATTATAATGAAACCGTTTGGTTACGGAGTTGGTTTGTCGGGGCGGGCAGGCTGTTTTTTTTACTGGGGAGACACTAGTGAAACCAAGAGCCAGAAAGGTTTCAATGCTTTCACCTCCATAGCAGTTCAGAAAACTGGCAGTCAGAACTGAACTAGTGCTCTTTAGTCATTATTACACATCACACACTGAAGAGAGAGAGATTGTTGCACTGTCAGGTCATATTATGTGTGATCTTGTCTGACTTGACTACACCTCGCTTGAGGAAATTTAGCTGGAATCAGTTGAAGAAATCTGGAATAACTTGAATAGCTTGGTGTTACTCAGCAAGAATAAAGTGAACTGACGTCTTATGGAAATATTATGGACGTGATACTAACAGCACAGGCCCTTTTTCTCCTTCCCCGATGTGACGTCTTTCCACTAGATGCCTTAGGGATGAGGCTTGAAGATATGATCGGCTCTCAGGAGTGGAAAATGAGGTTGAGAGGTCATGCATAAAAAGGGAAGTTTCCCCAGTGGAGTACAGCTCTAAATTCTACTTACTCTAAACTTGGACACTTCTGCAGCCATGCTTGTTTCTGTTGGCTTGAGAATGCTTGAGCAAAGGAATCAAGTGACCTCATGATCTGAATCTTCAGTGTATCTTAATTTGTTCATTAAGTTTCTGAACTAACTGACACAGTGATAAAGACTCTAACAAATCTAGTTGAAAAATCAGGGGTAATGAACACGTAAGCCTTTGTGGTTCAGCTATTTCGTTATATAACTTTACTTAATATGTATTTATTGCTTCAGATAGCAGAGCTGGGCTCCAAGAGAGAACCTAAATTTATAATTATTGGTTTTGGCAACAACCAGCTGCAAAATATTAGCGTTAAAGATGCAGTTTTAGTTATTTTACCAGTTCTACCAGAGGCTCTGCAAAAGTTAAATTTCGGAAAGATTTTGTTATTTACATTGACACATTATTTTATGGCTCTGTATACAGTTTTATTGCAGGCACAGTATGTTGGTCTCTTAGCTAACAAAAGCTGAGCACTCACTAGAAAAGAGTAATTCTCTCCTAACACATGGTTGTTATTCAGTCTTAACAACAACAACTCCAGTCCAATTAAAGTTTCTGGGAGACCTGCCAGTTTGGATCAAACATGATTAATAATCAATATGTGTCAGTTGATATGTGAGTCACTGCTTGAAACTCGGCAAACACCCTCAGTCGGTAGCCAATGAGATTTGAGTCTTACTACAGTGCTTGAGCTACATATTGCACCAGATCTGCTGCAGTGACACAGTTCAAAAAGTTGAAGTGATTCAGAGCGATACTTATGATAAATAACATGATTTACTTATCAGGTTTTGATGAGCAATGCTTATCGCTCACACTCAAACAATAGCAGGTGTCCTCATTTCCTCCCGGTCATTGAGCTCATATTCACAACCACAACTTCATGCAGATCTTTTACTCCATCTTCCTTAATTTCCTTGGTGCTCACTGTACACAAGTGGTTATTCAAAAGACTTGCAAGAATGCAGCCTTGAGCACTGCAGTTTAGGAAGTCAGACCTGACCCGTGACTCTGCTTTCAGCGATTGAAAGAGACAAGATCACAACATTTGCATGTTTTCCCCCAGTATTCAAAAACTTTGGATGAATTTCTTACTGTCTATGTGATCAAATAGCAGTACCTCCCAAAACAGGGAATGAGGAAATACACAATTACACTTTTACAAAAGCTGATTGCAGCTCTAACTGAAGTAACTGCTGTTATTTATTTACAGTATTAATAAAGTTACTAATTTCCCAGCTAACATAGAAATTACACAGTCTTAACCATGCCAGATGAATATAACTTATAAATGAATGAACAACCTCAACTCTTTCATGTGATTTTAAATTTGTAAACACATCTTGTTCTCTCTGTTTAGCCCTTCGTCTGAAGAGGCTAAAATGTGTGTGGTGAGACTTTAGTGTGTGTGAAGTATCTAAATCTTAAAATGCCAGCTTGGTGTTTCAGTATGTACAGGATAAACCTAACTTTTGCATAACAATGACTTAAACCAGCACAGTGAGGGTCAGGGCTGTGTGTCAGTAAAGTTAGTTGTACTGCTCACCTGTGCTTGGTTGTAACCTTGTGCACAGAGGAAGGGTGTCTGCGCAAAACATCTGTGCATGAATAAATAATTTAGGTGCTGTGCTGTGCTGTTCTCATCATGACTTTTGATTAATATAAACATGAATATTCTATATCTAAAACTATGACAGAAAGGCTTCCATGACCCTAACTATACTTTTAACTGTATCTGTAATCACTGCTGTCACAACATTGGTGCAGTAAATGCAGCAACTGTGACAGGTGTCTTTTGTTTGCAGCCAAAGTAAAAAAAGAAAAAAAGTGTGCTCTTTTAACCTTTTCCTTAATGAGTTTGCCCCTGAAAGTCTGACATGCAGTTCTTACGATGGGCCTGAAGAGCTCAAGGGTTGCTTATTTTAGTCATCTCATCATGAGAAGAGTCAAACAACGAATCAAGGAGGACTGATTAACCAACTGCAGTTTGGATACATGAAATGTAAACAAACAGAAACAGTCGTGATGCGCACATCCAGTAAAGAACTGAAGTTATCTTACCAGTAAATGGCTGTACAGTGGTTATCTGGGACGTCTTCCAGAAATCACAAACCTATAGAGAAAATGCAAAAAACTGTGAGTACGTACATTAATCATTACTCACTGTGCCTCAGGTAACATAATGTCTTCAACGACTTTGGAGAATTTCAATCTCCTGTCTTTCTTCTGTGCTTAAGACAGATTCAAAACTGATGGGGAAGTATTGATTGGTGAGGACGCAGACAGATAATGGATATAGAAATGATAAATGTTTGAAGGCCTTGGAAGATATGAGGACATGACAGGCAGATAAATTAAGACCTAGACTTTAAGACCAGTTTTTCTAGTCAGGTGACCACAGGCAAGCCACATTTTCTACTCCTTTATGTTTTGATTTGAACATAACAAATCATTTATGAATTTATGATGGTCATGCACGAATTAAAACTGTAATTATTAATATTTTTCATTCAAACTATAAGGTGCTGAAATTTAATTTAAATTGAGTGGAAATAATGTTGCACCTCTGCTGCGGGGTAGTGCAGTATTGAGTGTGGACTGAGTCTGACAGCCCCTTCAGCATCTGCGCGCCACTCCACCCATTCTGTCTCTCCTGCTGTGTAACTCTCAAGCTATCCAGACCAGCAGTCGTGCGATTGTTTTTCACATCCTCACCTTTTTTTGTGGCAGTTAGTTAGTTGCACTGTGATTACACTGCATGATGCATGTTGTTCGCTCCTCTGCCCTGAATCGAACCATTTTGTTCATTGTAGAAAAATACATGTGTCACTTAATGTATGCCAAACAAACTGCTTCATTCATTGGAACTCATGCTCAGATGTTATAAATAAATAAAATAATAATATTTAGTTCTAATTGTTCAGGCGCTTACAGGCATGAAACGATGTATCAGTGTCTCTATAAACAGGATTACAACCCATCCCCCATGGAGACATACTGTAGGTGCCAATTAACGTAGCTAACTGCTGGTTTTGTGTTCTTTAACCACATTCACAGTTGCGCAGTTCACATCTTTAATTAGGACAGAAATACAAACAGTTGAACTGTCAAGTTTCAAGTTGTGTTTACATGGCAAATGTGACACAGTGTTGACCAGTATTTTACTGGTATAATAAGTAATGCATTAATCAAATCATGTGATTACTGGCAAATTGTCACCAATATTGGTTTATAAAGGTTTTTAATAGTGTGTATATATATATATATATATATATGTATTTTTTTTATATATTTAAAAACACTGGCATGTATTTTTTTCAGTAATATGTGATTATTATTTATTAATTCACACATTTTTGTTTGGATATTTACTTCTAATAGTTTATAAATGTCTTATAGCAGATTAACAACAAAACTAAGATTAGGATTCATGCTCAAATTAGTTTTTTTCATGTTTCCTTCTTTTTACATTCATGCCTGCATATGTCGCTCACATTACATTACATTTGTGATCATCAGCATTAACTGAATATTTGATGATTCTGTTGATCATTCCCTCATGAATATGGCTGTGCAATTAAAACTGATGACTATTTTGTGCATATTTTATTCATATTTAAGGTATTATCTGACACAGGCCCGTCTGCTCAGTTTGTGAGGTGAAATATGCATGAGCTTGCTGTAATGCCTGGTATGCAGTATGGCAGAACTTAGGCTCTACAATGTCAGCTGTGTTCAGAAATGTCTGATTAAATAGAGTTATGTGCAGTATGTCGGTGTCAGGATGCTGTGCTGCCTGCGGTGCAACATATTGATTTGTCTCTAATGTCTATCGCCTCTCTTTTTTTCCCCTCTCTGTATTCCTCTCCCCAGCCAAAAGGCTTTCGGCGGTACTACAGCTCCCCATTACTGATCCAGGAACAGTATGGCTGTATCAAAGAAGTTATGCCCATTGGTGAGCGGCTTAGATCTCCAATATAAATTCTGTTCTGTGTGGGATGGGATGCTCTCAAGTGAAAACGTAACTCAGCTCTTCCAGAACCACTTTTGCTCTTGAACTGTTTTATAAAATTTACCTACATTGTTTTGTAGTATTGTGAATCACCACTTGGCTTTCACAAGAGCTTAACATTTATTTGTCATCAGCTTTCATTATGTCTTGTATCATTCTTTTCTAAAGCTTGTGGCAATAAGGTGGACCCTGTGTATGAGGCCTTGAGGTTTGGGACATCCCTGGCACAAAAGGCAAAGAGGGCCAGTGGCTCTGAGTCTCCACACAGAAACTCGGTAAGAAAAGCATAATTTATCATGTCGGGTAGTGTTTGTTTTTACCCTGCTGACACATAATACTGTACCTGTCATAGATTTCAAATACAAATCAAAAGAGAAAGTTTCAAATTCAAAGAGAGTTGTTGTTGTTTGTACTATTCCATGTCTTAGTAAAAACTATAATAATCTACTAGTGAACTAGTAGTGAACTAGTAGATTATCCCAGTTCAGTTCGGGTATCACGCTTGTTGTAGTTTTGTCCCACTGTAGCTGATCGTCAAAATAGATACGGCCACTGCAGGGCTGTAAACACTACCAATAAAGGCAGTCTGGTCCAGGCAGTGTCAAGACAGGAGATGTTGGTACAAACTCTCATGTTACAGCTCTGTAGATGGACTAGACTGATTGGAGAGCTACAGTCCTTTCCACCCTCCTTTCCATCTGTGTGTAACGCACAAGCAAATCTGTGTTTCATAGCTTATCACTTCTAATGTAAGCTAAACTGTATAAGCAGTCTGGACACGAGCCTCTGTATGATGACATCTGAAAGCTGTTGGGTTCGGGCCATCCTGTCCTGTCCTGTACAGCTGTTAGTGAATGGGTGTGTGTGTGTGTGTGTGTGTGTGTGTCAGTGGAGACTCAGAGAGACAATGTGATCTCAACAGGGGTTATGCTAATAGTTTCCACATGCAGACTTAGAAACCCGTGTGTTTGCTACACTGCAGATTTCTCCAAAACAGCTGGTTTGTCTGTGAGAGTGGGTGTATTTTAGCTAGTTTCATACTTATTGATCAACAGTATACCGCCATCTATCTCTGTTTATCACTTTCCCTATCTGTTTCTGTTTATCCATATATCACATATCTATCTGTATCTCCCTCTGTCTATGTCTATATCTATTTCTATCCATCTCTCTTTAATAGATCTCCGAAGATTAGTCTGAATCCTTTTTTAAACAAGAAATGCCAAAATTATTTGGTTCCAACTCTCGAAAAATGTTTTATATGACAATAATGTGAATATATTTGTATGTGGGATTGTTGGTTGGACAAAACAAAATATTTAGAGACGTCACTTCGGACTTTGGAAGACTGGGATGGACATTTTTGACATTTTTCTGATGTAAATAGACAGAACGATTAATTGAGAAGATTATTGACAGATCTTTTGTCTAATGTACCTCATCTCTGCAGACCAGTGACTTGGATAAGGTTCCAGAGGAGGTGGTGGCTCACAGCAGCAGGCAGGAGCTGTCGAGAAAACACAGTGATGATGGTGAGTATCCGTTATGGTACACTCTGTGCATCTGGATCAAAGCCATGTAGTCGCACTGAGAGAAAAAAAAATACTATTCCTATTGCTCTTCCCACAAGTGAGTCTGAGAAGGTTGCAACATCAAATTCTGCTCCTTTGAACCATCAAATAAGGTTCTACACTATTTTCCACTGAGTTGAACTTGCTCTTTTTGCTGTGGTATCTCTGAGCCTGCTTTAGAATACGCTGTAGAAAAAACTTACAGAAATGTGTGGACCCCTCTTTTTTTTTTTTATCTTGCATTATGTGTAGGTGTTGATTTAGTGGTGCTTGGGATTTTCTGCTGCACAATAGCCTCTGTAGTGAAGGGCAAGGCAATGACCCTTTACAATCCAATATATTCCCCCTGAGCAGTGAAGGCAAGGAGAGTGGTGGAGCGCACCATGGTTCTGGAAAATGCTATTTGAAGCATAGCTACAGTGCTGCTGAAATATTTCCCACAGAGAATGGCACCTGGCCCAACAAAATAGTTAACATTCAACTCATCTTGTTAGCCTATGCTATGTGTTGACCACAACCCTGTTCTAGTTTCTTGATAGTGTTTGGGTTGATGGGAAAATACAGCAATGGTCAAGGAGAAGCTATCCAGAATTGTGCTATGGATATTTATCAGCCTTAGAAGTCGAGTCATTGTGTTTTTGGTTACATCTTTGATTTGTTGATACCGTCAGTTTCCAGTTGCAAACAAGATAGCTCATAATCACACCAGTTGCTTGCTATGACTTCTTTTAGACCCATTCGATTTCACAGTAATGACCCCAAGATGTTTCAACTGGTGTCACACAAATGTAAACATTTTGCCCTTTTCCTAGTAAAGTTCTAGCCGGGGGCAAAGATATCAGCATATTTTTTGTGTTCAACATGGAAACTAATAAATTCTTGTTTATTGAAATGGTTATTAATTATAGTGATTTTTTGTTTGTTTGTTTTTTTTCTCAGTCTTCACAGTCATTGAGAATGGGACGGAGCATTACCACCAGCCAGAGGGAAAACCCGATGATTTGCCAGTAAGAAACTAATCAATCAAATAATTTCACAAAATACATGCTGCATCTTATTCCTGATGACTGGGTGTACACGAGTTTATTATATGCCTGAGTAGTACTGTTCTTGTAATATAATGCCAGGAACTAAATTCAGAGGAAATCGGAATGCTTTAAAGTTTGCTATGCTCTCTGTCTCTGATGATGTTGAATTTGCAGGAAATTATTTTCACTTTTACAATATGCAGCTTTACAAGCCACTTGACTTTAAGGCACCTATTCTTTCAAAAGACCATGTTTGACAAAACTCTAATCTCAGTGAATTTCATATGCCAAAAAACCTTTTATCTACAAGCTGTCTTTTCTTAATAGCAAGGCAACCGCCTCATTTTTCTTTAAAATCTTTGAAGAGTCAGTTGTTCAAACAGTTGCCGAAAAGGTTGCACAATTCTTTTGTCCAACAAAAAATCATGTGATCGTTCAATTTAAGTTAAAACACAAACATCACCCAGATGTGAGGTAAAGCCTTTTCACCTGCAGAGACAATTTGCTGCCACTTTTGTAAATAAAAAAAAAGCCTTCTAGTGAATGATAAACTCATGATTACATAAGGATGAAAAAGGAAAAGTAAACTGAAGATATTGTTTTAGAGGAATGGCAAGCTTAAACTGTCCTCTCTGCAATCTCACGTCAGCAACTGCGGTAGCCAACTCTGCTTGGTATTCTGCAGGCCAAGAGTTTTATTGTAACACTGTATTATTGACGTATTCTGAAAACCTCTGAGAACCAATTTTGTTCACTGACCAACTTCTGAACCCTGCCTGGTTACTCTGAGAACTGCTACCCAGCCAGTCCAGTCTGCGCCCATTAAGCATGCTGCACTTGGCCCCGCGCCTCTATCGTTGCTGCTGAATTTCCCAGGGCTTTGAGGGAAAACTTCTCTTCCTGCTGTAACAAATCATACCCGAGCTGACACGACCACTGGCCTGTACTGATACGGCAAAGCCTTGACCTTAATGTTTGGATCTTCAGCTCTGGGATCTGTGCTGCTGTATTTATTCTCTACGGTGTAGATGTAGTGCTGATGGTGCAAAATTCATGCCAGAGATAGATAAAGGTTAAATGTCTGTGAATATCTTATCACCCCTGCATCTTTTCATCTTCCATGGTGGGATTTGTGGAGAGGTGCTTTCAGTATCAATGTTCTTTGTACATATTTTCAATGTCCAGCCATCTGTCATGTTTACTTTTATAGTTTAACGTGTTTATCTCCATTGTCAACAGTGGAAAAAGAACCACAGATACTTGGACAAACACAAAAATGAAAAAATAACCATACAAGGCAAAAACACACACACACACACACACACACACACACACACACACACACACACTCACACACACACACAAACACAAACACAAACACACACACAAACACAAACACAAACACAAACACAAACACACAATATAATCTAGCAGTCCAGCCATCCATTTCAGGGAAGAGACTTGAAATGCATTGTGTGGTGTTGTCAGGCTGGACCGAGCACAGCTGGCAGTGGGCTGTTTGTCTGTCATCCGACGGGTCCATTAGCTCAGGCTGGCGGACAGACAGATGGAGGCTCGGCAGGGTAATGAGCAGAGAAAAACGCTCGAAAACTGCTTCTTCACCAGTGAATGGGCCTCCAATTTGAGATGAGAGGCTCACACGCACAAATGGGAACACACACAGTCACACACAGGATCGCCATCTGTTCACAGTTTCCAGGTTTTGTGTTAAACTCCCTGAGATCAATTGACAGTAAAATAGTCTGGTTCAGTCTGGTTGCTGTTATTTCTTTTCGCTTGAGTTCTCTCTTTGGAAAGTTTGATCTTGTGTAGGTGGCGCTATTTTTGTTTTTCTGTTCATCTAAGGCAGGTTCTGTTTATTCCAAACAAACTTCTATTGCTTGTGATGCTGCCGGGAGCATAAAATCTGTCACCAAATCATCTCTACTGGAATAAAAATATTGGAAAATAGCACTTAAAGCTGCACTAGTTAATAATTTTATATCTATATGTGGTTCAAATTAATCATTAATCAGCATGTGGATTGTGAAAAGGGTCGTCAACAGAACCCACAGAGAATTTTAACCCTGGCTCTGCGGTTCCTCTCAGCTCTACGGAGCAGTTAAGCATTTTTTTGCTCATTGTTTTGGTTTTCCGGCCCACATTATTCCTGTTTTGGTTCATTTGTTGCTCTCATCAGATGTTTTGAATAAACCCAGGGTACACTACGCACCCAGACACAGAGACAGCAGATAAATAGCCAGACAATTTCCTCGGGAGTTGTAGGAGACCAAAAACAGAGCTACAAGGACAGTGAATATTGGACTCGAACTTCAAACAAACACGACTCCAAATGAATGTTAATAATGCATCTGCTGAATGTGCAATTAGACAACTGTTTGCAAACATGTTCATATCAACATTATAAGGTGATATGAGTTGTGTTTCCAAGTTTTTGTACTATCCCCAAGTGGCCAAAAAAAAAGCAATAACTGTAGAACTAAAGGAATCCACGCTGCTTTCTTTTTTCCATTTTTCCATCGCTGCATTGTCCTTCACTTCAAATACCGCTCTATTTCCTGAAAACTCATTTACAAAGGAGACCATTATCTTGGCCTGCCCATCCTGTCAGCCACTTTTCCAGGCTTCTACAGCATCAAGACCCTCTCAAGGCCAGTGAGAAGCTTTTATTTAGCTGTAATGGATTGCCACAGCTTGATGTTGTTGTTTTCACCCAGAGGCCACAGAGGTAGTTTGCCTTGTGGCCACAGTTAACTCAACTCATCCATCAGCCACTTTGCCAGTCCACGTGGGTGACGTCGGGGAGCAACAGAAGAAAAAGCGCTTTCCCTCATTACTATACAATGCCACAAAGAAGTCAAATACTCCTGCTGTCTTGCAAAAATAGGTATAAGGGTTTCTTAAAAAGTCATTCCCATATCTTTTAGCACCATTTTCCTCCAGGCACCATGCAGGAACAAGACAAGTTGTCCTTAGTGACCCAGCAGGCTGGATTCAGACTCAAGGTATTGGTGATGAAACAGGAAAATGCACCCACCAGTTTTCTGAGCAGGTGTGAAGAGTGCCAGAATGGCAGCATATCTCTCTGCTAATTGTGCTAACACCTCTCCAAGAACTTCCTCTCCACCCACAACCCTGTGCTGTTTTAACTTCCTGAGCGTTCTTGAAAACCCGATCCTGCCTCTCCTACTCATGTTGACGCTGGATTAATAGGAACAGATTGCAGAACATCCAAAGCAGTTCCTCCATCTATCAGTGTACTGTAAACAAGGGCTTCTCCTGCTTATGTGAATGCCAAAGGAGTAATTTAAGATTCAACTGCAAGAAAAGGAGCTCTAGAGAATATGGTGTTTGTGTGTCTGAGACTTATTGAAAATCAAATCTGTGTGCTCATGTGTCTCTGTTTATCTTTGCTGTCTAGTTGGAGCAGAGCCAACTACAGAAAGACATCCTCAAGCTCAACACATATGTGGCTTTGTACAATTTCACTGCCCAAGAGAGCCATGACCTGGAGATGAGGTCAGTTTACACACATGTACACACACACATGTTAATTAATAAAGAAATCCTGCTACACCACCCACTGTCATTACTATACACAGCACCTGTCTGGGGACTGCAAATGAAATGTTACCAACAGATTGACTCTGACATGCCTACAATAACTTCTTTTGATTCATAATCACTGTTAAAAAATGTTCTGAAGAAAAAGAAAAAACTAATTTAACATATTGCCATCTCAGTTCTTCTGTAAGCGTGATTCAACTACACTGTGAAATTAGATTTAAGGTTTCTGAAGATAAACTGAATTCATAGCTGATTAGTTCGTACACATGTACTTAGAGAACTAATTTTTGTGCCTTATATTAGTGTTCTGACTCATTGAATTGCATGGATAAGGAGCTTGGGGTTTAGTGTCTGATTTTTGAACAACTCTAAAATCATAATATATTGATTAGTTTCACAAGCCTGCCATGCACACACAGCCGCAATGAGAGAAACAAAGCCTCTGTTTCTGTGACCTTTTAATGTATGTCTTGAAATTTATGTCTCTGTATCTTATGCATGTATAGAGTCAGACAACACAGCAACACTTAGGCACACAATCCAAACACACACATTGTGTAAGTGTATAGAAGGTGTTTTATTTACTATTTTAAGTGTGTCAGTATCTGCTATTGACGAGCTGTTTGCTCCCTGTCAATCTTCACTTACTTTTTCATGCCAAGAAATCAAGTTTTCTCTTAATTAGTGTTTCCTGTTTCATCATTCATTTTGAATTTGGTTGCAAATTCAGTTGCTGCAGCTGCTGCTGCTGCGCTGGTCTCTATAGCTGTTTGAAATCACTATTATTCACTCATTCACTATTACCTATAATAAACAGTCAATAGTTTACAGTAGTGAATAGTAAATTTAGTCTTAAGCAGTGGTGGAAAAAAATATCCTGTTGTCTGTAAAAGTTCTACATTTAAAATTTAGATTAAAGCAGTTATAATCAATTTAATAAAATAACAATGTTGACAATATGAAAACAGTGTGAAAACTCTGTGACAGTGTGAAGTGGGTGGTTTGTAGTGATGAACCTACTTAGAATTATCCCCTGAATCTGGAGCTTTATATTCAGTTTCAGCTCATTGTTGTCCATCCCACAACTTTCCAGGTTTTCGGTCACTCTCACCACTTTCATAGTGTTGTTTTCAGCCACAGCAGCAGGAAACTGTTTTCAGTATTAAAGCTATAAAAACCAACTGTACTCTACCTACGAATTGCAGCAAAAAGTAGTGTTGGTGCTACAGGCACTACTTTCATACAAAGAATTCTAACATGCAAGTAAAAATGGGAAAAATTAATGTAGTGTGTTACTGTTGGTAGCAAATATGGAGTGATTTCGGACACAGCCCGTGAGTTCAAATAATCAAGCATGTTGCATTTCTGGCCTCTAATCTGGGATGTCAGCAAGTGTTTTGGCTTTGACAGCTAATTAAAACCACTTGATGTGACACTGATTAGGCTGTGGCCAGAACTCCAACATGATAACATAACAAATTATAGAATGTATAATACTATAATTACAGAATTTATCATTTTGAATTATAATTCATTTGTTTTATGTTGAACATTAAGTTTTAAATTTTGTCAGCCTACAGACATATTTTGGAACAATAATTCCACACACAGCTCTATATCTAACTTGTCTTATTATTTCTGATACAATGTGAAACCTTAAGTATGACTGATAGAGCCAGGGCCCTCAAGAATGAGAGAATTCATCATGAACAGTCCTTCAGCATAAATAGCCATTTGTTCTTGGTTCTCACAGAAATCCTCAGAGGATTTAAGGATATAAGAGTGCGCCTGTTCTCTCCTTCTATTCCCTCTATACACAAACGCATGCACGCACGCACACACACACACACACACGGTACCTTCCTCTCTCTCTTTGGTCAGGAAAAACTTTACACAGCTTCATTTGAAATTCATTGACTTTCTCCTCTAGGACCCATGTCCACTGATACCTGCTCTACAGCACAAAGCTCACCAGGCTTTGTTTCACTTTGTTTCTTCTCTTATGAGAGCCTACATCAAAGTGTCTCCTCAGGGTCTTGCTGCAGACAGTATTCAATACATTAAACATTACCACATAAAGCACAAATGGAGGAAAATTGAATCCTTAATCAAAGGTTCAATTTTTATTTTCATTTTAAGTGAGTATATCAGTTTTGTGATTAGTTTCATGATTACTTTTGACTATGTGGGGACTATAACAATGTTGAGGGATGCATTTTAATAATAGATTAGATTCAGAAAATCTACCTTTTTTGTTGTTTGAGAGATAAAGATTTTACCAACCCCTTTTCTCACTGTCATTTCTCATTTTGTCATGATTAACTTGATTTTAATGCACAGTATTTCAAGGAAATGCTCATCTGCTTCATTTCCTGTTATCCTAATTGAATCAACATGTATCTACTTTGTTTATATAACCTTACAAGATTTTACAGCTGTGCTGTTTCTCACCTTCAGTTAACAGTGTTTTCTGAGTCATGATCATTATTACTAAAAGGCCAACCCGTGTTGTAACTGTACCACAAGAGGAAGAAAAAGGGAAATTGCGTAAAGCAACATTTGGCTCAACTGTGCTGGAACTTTTGATACTGAAGCCGACGGCTTTGAACATATGCTAGTAATTATGACACATGTGGCGATGGGGTAATGTGATTCATGCATTTCCTGGATAAATAAGGATTACTTACCGCAGACAGAATGAAGGTGTATCACATGTCATTAAATCAGAGAAAAGCTGACAAACATGTCTTCTAGTTGAACATGTGTGCTGTATGTAAGCAGGCCTCTTACCTGAAATAACTGTAGATTTTAGCCTCCTGTTATACTAGCTAATTAATGCTTACTCTCCAGACAGTTTTGTAATCTTTCAATCTGACTCATTATGACATTTTTAGGTTGTCCGTCTGTCTGTCCCATTCTCATGAACATGATACTTCAGTAACGCCTTGAGGGAATTTCTTCAGATTTGGCATAGACATTCATTTGAAATCAAGGATGAACTGATTAGATTTTGATGGTCAAACGTCAAGGTCACGGTGACCTCACAAAACACGATTTTGGCCTTGTGAACGCAATATCTCAGTAATGCCTTGAGGGAATTTCTTCAAATGGGTAGAAACGTTCACTCAACAGGGGGTCAATAGGGGCCAATAGTTCACTTTTGCCACTGGGCAAAAACCTTTTGGTTGAATTAGACTTTGTTTTGCCTTTTCATTGCAGAGCAGGAGACAGGATCTTATTGGCTGACGACTCTAATGATGACTGGTGGAAGGTAGGTACAAGACGTATTACACCTTAGTAGTGACATGGTTCCTTTCAAGATGCTAAATTCAAAGATAAAGTTTGCAGGTTTTGTCCAGTTTGCATATAATGTGTGTTTTCCACAAAGCCCCAAAAATGCCCCATTAAGAAATGGATTGATAAATTACTCAATGTCTGTCTGTACATTACAAGAGCAAGAAAGCAGGCTGCCTCAGGACACAAATGTATGACAGATAAATTAGGGAGACAAAAGGGCCAAAACGTGACTGTACAGAGGCAGCCTGCTGCCACCAGACCATGAAGAAACTCATCACGCATTTTAATGCTGTTGTTGTTCCCTACAGCCTGTAGATTAACAGAGGTGTCTGGCCTGTATGGTCTTTGAACAATGAATACTTAAACAAGTCAAGAGGCAATCATTTGCACCTGACACAACACCTGCATATAATGTATGTGTAGTATATGTACTAGGGATGCACGATATGAAATCAACCGATACAATAACCGATAATAAACTGCTTCTCATGGCTGATACTGATAACTGGTAAGTTTACATTTATATATTTTATATTTAAAAAAGACCTTCATATAATCTGGAGTTTGTGAACCCGAGAGAGTAAAAAGGCTAAGATGCAGTGATTATGAATGTATATTTTAGTAGCTCTGACCTAACTATAACAGGAAACAGCATTCCTGGCTCTTCAAATGTTTATTTATTTGTTTATGACTAGAACACCACAGTACATTATAAACAATAAACAAAGTTTGGATGCACTGGGGATGTGTCATATCACACACACAGGAAAGTAATTGAAACAAAAATGAAATCCAAATAAAAATCAACTGTGATGGCACACAGTGAATTTAAGTCAAGTGCACCTTGGTATGTTAGGCTCTACAAAACCTGAGGCCTGTGGCCACTTAGGCTGTAGATAAAAAAAAAAACAAACAGCAGAAGGCAAAAATAACCCATCAAATATTTTATATATGAATTAAGTATAAACAAAATGCACTTTAAATCTCACAATAATAAGAACAAAAAGTGCATCCCTCAACAAAAGGCTTTTGCAGCATTATTACTGCTTTATCTGCAGAAGGCATATAGTAGAGATTAGAGATTTCTAGATCTAGAGATTTCTTTTGTAAATTGTTCTTTTGTAAACATTTTTAGGTTTTTTTTAACAACTTAAAATGTTTTCCAATTTCCACTAATCAGCATTTCCTACCTTCCTTCCAAAGTACATCATTTTTCGCTTTTTGTCTACATTGTCTTTTCCAAGGTTTGAGGAACAATTTGCTATGTGAGGGCATCAGTGGGAGATTTTTCTTGATAAGAAGAAACATCTCTGCCTACTCACACCAATTCTGTTGCTTTTTTCATCAACAGCATTTGCAGCAGCAGAAAACAAATGTTCACTGTCTATGTTAGTGCAAGGGGCTGACAGGTATTTGCATGCAACTGAGGCGAGGTCCAGAACCAGGAATTCTTGCTTGTCCAGTATTCTGTTGGGCTCTCGGTTCTGGAAATCGGGGACTCTGAAAGATATCCCCTTATCTAAAGTAGAACAAAAACACACTTATAGTTTACCATTTTTTTGGTGTCTTTTTAAAGAGACATTGAAAGCTTTATTTATCTAAACACTCACTTGTGGCTCATCCACCTTCTCTGCTGTTGCACAGTTCAGCTTTTCCCTGAACATTTCTTTAGCTTGCCTTTTTGCTGCTTGGTTAAAATAGCAGTCCTCATATCTAAAGTCTAAGATTGTGGCAAGATAATACACGGGCTCTGTATAGATGTGACTAAATCGCTGCTCTATGGCTTGCAATAGAGTGCTCTTTGAAGTTTACACTCCCTGATCTGTTGCAACAGTCTTGTTTAACAAACGTTTTAAGGCTTCAATGGAGGGAATCACATCTGCTGCTGTGGTTGTAGCTGAGCTCTTTTGTCAACTGTTCACATGGGTCAAGAAGAGTCAACATCTTTTCAATTAAAGTCCACTGATATACACCTAGAGAGGCAGGTAATTCAAAATCTACTCATATAGCATATAGAACGTGCTGTTCCATCGTGTTGGTACGTCTTGTTAGAGACTTGTGGTTTTCATGCCCAGTTGTGTCTGTAAATCTTTCAGACAGGAGGTGGCAAGTTGGGAATGCTTAAAGTGGCCTACCATCTTCCTGCCGCCACTAAGCTGCTAAACTAAGCATACTCACTGGACTAATGTCAGATGCCCAAATGTCCGTGGTCAAACTTATGTTAAGTGTGTTGGCGTTGTAGTCCGGTCCCACCAAGAAAAACAACCAGACCGGTGAAGACATGTTGGCTCTCAACTCCAGACATGAGCACAGTACTGAGGTGCAGCAATTGACGTTATGAGCACGAAAACAGACTCGTTTTCCATGGTTTAGCCACAGTATAGTGCCACCTGCTGGTGTAGCAATGTCTTGCATTATCAGATCCATTTATCGGGTTAAATTTCTTTATCGCAGCAACAAAAAATGGTGTACTTTTCCCATAATAGACCGATTATTTATCAGCCCAATTATTATTGTGCATCTCTAATATGTACCATATGTAAAAACACATACACTATACATCTTTGATCTTGTGTCAGGTACATATAAGTTAGTACATACAGTAAGTAGTATGACCTAAAATAAAACTTTATACAGGTATGATGATCCTGTGTTGTTTTTTTTCAAAGCTTTTCATCTAACCACTTGTGAAAACACTGGGTCTGTAACACCCTTATGTCCTTTGCAGCTCTTCCATGCTTCAGCTGTTTTAATTTTTAATGAATACATTTTTTACAGGGGGTAATTGAGGACAGGATTGGTTTCTTCCCAGCAGCCTTTGCTCATCAGGTGCGGGTGGGGGACCAAGTGTTCAGGTGTAACAGGACGTTCATCGGCTGTAAGGAACAAGGCCAGATCACCCTGAAGGAGGGACAGGTACTGATAATTATGATGATGAAGATTGTGTGTGATTGATGATCGTCTTCCTTTTTAAAGATGACACTAGATGACGTTAAAAAAGCCTGGACACCAAGCTAAACAAAGCTGGTGTAAAGATTTCACAGTAGTGATATGATTGTTGATTGGGTTAATTGCTTGCCCCTGGAGCCACAGAGACAAAACACATTAAGAATTCATTTAGACTTAACGTTAGCAGGGTTGATCCAGTGAACACATTAAACCTGTGTGTAATTCATGATCACACCCATTAGCACACACATCCAGCAGGTCTTTAGCCATCACATCACCCTCCTGCAGTTCCCACGACACCCCTTACCTGCAGCAACTCTGCCCTCACATACACTCACTGAAAAGCTTGTTTAGAGTTGTCGGACACAGGAGTTATCATTAAATTAGCATTTTTAGCATGATGGCTGTACTTAGATCAGACTCCCTTTTTCCCACAATACTTTCCAGGGCATGTTGGGACTCAGAGGAGACTTAAAGTAAGCAACCCCCAGTGGAGATGAAACCGCCGAACACAAGACGGGTCTGTGACCCGCTGCCTTTCTTTTCCAGTCACACAAACCCAGGGGAAGATGTTGTAGAGTACTTAGAGCGAGCATGAAAACAGTGTGTTCTGGGTCATTATGAGGGTCAGTGAGTGAAATTAGGAAACAGCATATTTATTGCTCAAAACACAACCCATTCCCTCTCCTTGAAAGTTAACTGCAACCACAATTGTTAGTGTTGATTCTCATCGCAACAACAGCAGCATCATCATCATTATTATCACCTTTTTGTGTAATGATAATAACACATGAAGCAACAATTTATTCTCAAGATAGGCAATGCAGTATATTAACACAGATTTTGTGCTATGAGATTATTCTACACAAATCAAACTTTTTATCGTAGCTTTCATACAGGTTAGTGCAGCTACAGACTGTAGACTGTGTAAAGGTAATAATAAGTCAGCAGTACTATAAATAAAACAAATGGAGATTATGGTACAAAAAAAATAGAGATTAGAGCAGGAAAGATGAAAATAAAAAAATGAAGTTTTTGACTGCTCTTCAGAATACCTAAAAGGCTCATGCTAAACGACCGGTGGGGCTGTCATGACTCATACATGAAAGCATTTCAGATAATTATCTTGGTATCATGGAGACGATGTAGTATTTCTTAAAGTAGTAGTAAAAGAATTTTGAATATGAAAACTGACTCTTAAATAGGTGCAACGTGTGCACTCTTTCTGGTCCTAGTCAACACTCGGGCAGCAGTTTTGGATCAGTTGTAGAAAGACATAGTCTGGGATCTTTCTTGCAAGAAATCGTTTCCTGGGGGTGTCATGGCAGCCGAGTGGTCGAAGACACATACCATGTAACCGCAATGTTTCCAGTTCAAATTCAGTCTTCAGACTTTTTTGTTGCAGTCCAGTAAAGGTCTTCCCAACTAAACCACAGTTTTATGGACTTTTCTGTCCCCAGATTCTCACCACAATGTTGGGAGCACACTATTATCTTAAAGATTATTGTATGCCGAATTAACAGATTTCGTCTTAACTGGAATTAAGGCACCTAAGCCCAAACCATGAAATACAACTCCAGACAAGAAATACACAAGTGTGTCCACAAACATTTGACCTTGTAGTGTATTGCAATAGTATATCTGATGCTCTCAAAGATGTAAACATGACATCCTCCAAACTGTTGTGTGTCCCCTTGCCAACACAAATGAAAAAACATTGAGAGTAAGTTGTTTGATTTTGTTAACTGTACTTTCTGTTCATATTTTATCACTGGAGTAAAATTTCTCTTCTGCTCTCAGATCTGTGTAAGCAGTGAGGGCGAGCGCAGCGGCTTCATCCGAGTGGCGTGTGGAAAGAAGAGAGGCTTTGTGCCCTGTGACGTCCTGGAAATCATCTGAGAGAAACACTCAGGGAGCCGAAGATGGCGAGAGAGAGAGGGAAGATGGGATCAGCCGCCTGGAGGCCAGAGGAGGAGGAAACTGAACCGACAAAATGGCTACGAGGCACCAGTGAGGGAGTTTTCTCTCTGAAGAAACTGGAGTTTGAACTTAAAGGTGATGCTGGTTTTGTCACTGAGGACTCCACTTTGTTGCAGGTCAGAGTCTCTGTACTTTCCTCACTCCCTCTCAGCACAAGGAGAGAGATGCTGAGATGACTGTTTGTTGTTTGCAAGATGACAGGAGATCACTGTATCACTGGATTTGATTTAATTTATAGAGCCAATGTGTGTGTGTGTGTGTGTGTGTGTGTGTGTGTTTTGTTTTTTTTGTTTTTTTCTCTTAGTTTTATTCTGCTACAAGCTGTTTATTTTCTGAAAGTGGGCTGGCTGTTTATGCCTGAGAAAAATAATCAAACACTTACTACAGTTATTATTTTCAAGGTTTCAGTACATACAATGGCATTGCGCCTACAAATAGTTTAGTTTCTCATGCTTTTACATTATGTTTCAAGCAAAATGTTAGCTTTTCATACACAGTAGTCAACACTATGCTCTAAAATGGATGACAAAATCCCTGAGAAAACTTGATGCAAAACACCTATTAGAGAGAAAATATGATTTTTTTCTTTCTTTGAAGCCTTAAATCCCCTAAACATCTTAAAAAACTTCCTGCATAACCTCTAACATACATTTAAAGTCCTAAAAAGGTTTTCCATATGTTTCTCTTGTAACAGGTGAGAAACAAAGCACATCAGGTGCTACAAAGAGATGTGGGGGAGTATTTTCAGAGGAGTTTGACACAATCAAAGACTTAAGTAATTCTCTCTGGTCTTTCAAAAATATCACCCTCACACTTCCAATCTTGATATCTCACAATTCAGGATTTTACTTTATGATCATGGTTATGGTCATGGTAACACTGAAAATCTTTTCTAGATTTATTGTTTCAGGCTAGTCTTAAAAAGTTTTTTTAATTGATTGAATAATGGATATAATCTTCTCTCTTTTTGGTTGTTTTCATCAAAGATTTCAATCTTCATCACTATAAAACAGAAGAGAACGAGAAGGCACAGCTTTGGTATAATCAGGACAGAGACTGTTTTTGTTACTAATTTGTGTGATCTGATGGGAATGACTTGTGAATGCACAATGACGACTGTAAGACATTGAAACATGCAAGAAAATGATACATTTCTAGTTAGTGTGTTAACTTTAAATGTGATCACTATCATGTGACTTTCCTCTTTCTCAGTACAGACTATTCTGAACAGGCCTTCAGATTCAGATACTAATGAAGTGCATTTCTGGCAAGATGTTGCATCATAGTAGATATAGTATATCTTTTAAAGGTTGTTCTGCACTGAAACGGGGCTCTACTAAATGTCCAAGAATGCTATATTGTACATAATGTACGTACGAGATTAAAAGTCCTTCTTTATCACAATAACGCAACATGCATTATGATGATTTTTGTGTTTGTCTCGCATTCCTTTTCTTCAGCAGACTTCTGGATCCCACTGTACCTAATATTTCACAATTTACTGATTCTTATATCAGTCCCAATGATTTATACATTTCCGCCCTGGTTCTCTTTCCTCTTGTGCTCCGCAATTAGCGATCAATAATAAGCTCATCATTCGCTCAAGTGGGCCTCCAAAAAATATGCATATTGTGATATGATTTGGTTTGAAAACAACTGGCGTGTGACTCAGTTATTCAGTGTGTAAAGAAGTGAATCCAACTTCACAGCATGAAGGTGTTAAAGACTGAATGTTGGAGACAAATAAAATGAGGATTTTGCTGTAATGCACAGAGAGTTTTATGTGTCACAGTGGCTTTGTCTCAGTTTACACATCCCACTTAATGTAAAACTTCACCTTTTTAAAAATTTTATGGAAAACAAAAACAAATTTAACTAATCAGGGAGTACATCCAATGAAAGTTTTAACAATTACCTGAAAATGGGGGTGGGATTCTTTGTTAAGTTCTCAATTACAGAGCAATTATGAAATAATGCTGACAAAATTTAATATTCATCAAAATAGCATGCAGTGATCATATGTCCAAAGGGTTTGAACTCCATCATGAACATTTCCTTTGATAAAAAAAATCCTGTATGCTGGTACAGTGCGGTACAAGGCATCATGACATGGCATTACAACTGATCCCGATTCAAGAAAGACTTAAAAAGACAATTTCTCCAAAACTTCAAACTTTCTTCAAACATAGATGGAGCATCTTCTAATCTAACTAATGTACCTTCTAATGTTACTGTAATAACACGAAGCTGAAAAGAGTTAGCGACTTAGCATTGCATTGCTGTTCTACAACATAGCCAAACTCATAATGAGCAGTTTAAGAGATTGGCACCTAAGTTACCCAAAATGCAACTTGACTACTGACAGTTCTGTTGGAGATTTTTGTGTTTGGATTATTTGTTGAGTATTTTTAGTGTGTGTATTAAAATTTGTGCCCACACTCCAATTAAATGAAATAGTTCATCAGAAAGTTTGGACATCTAGTTGTTTCCAGGACTCTTTCAACCTAACCAGCCCACTTTCTCATCCACTCATCTCACAGTTCAGCAAGCCCTCCTGAATTACCCTTACTGGATCTACCTAGTCATTGTACCAGACAGACTGCACACCCTGTAGTCCATGATTAGAGACACAGTCTCACTGCAGATTCTGAGGTTTCTGCAGCTTCATTAAGCAGCTGCTCACATGTTGAAATTGTTGCTGGAGGCGCAGCCTAACTACAATCACAGACACTTTGCTATTTCCGTGTCTCTCCATTTTCCTGTTGTGTGTCTGTGTAATGAGTCACAACAGGCCGTCACTACAGGATGCCAGCAGGTCTCACATACTTGAGTCAAGCACCCCCTGTTGGTATTTTGGTGCAACCGCAGTCCAGTGCAACAGCCCTTGAACTAGAGAAGATCAAATACGGGAGACCAGGACATCTGTGACTTTGAGAATCACACTTCCACACACACTTTTAACCTTTTCACATCTTCAGTGCAAGTGTTAAAGATGTGTTAAAAATTTGTAGCTAGTGCAAACTCTTTTCAATTCATAGCTGTTTGGTTACAGGCAAGAAAATATAGAGAGGCTGTTTTAAGAACACTATATACCTTTTTTCAACTTGCTTACAGTAAAAACAGACCCACAGATTCAGTGTCTAGAACATACAATAAATCACATGATGCTTCACAACCTTTTATTTTGTCTCTACCAGTAAGAATTCTACTTAAAGCTGTACTACCTGATATTCCTGTATATGGTCAATGATGTATTGTGTAAGATGTTGGTTATGACAAACCCAAGTAAAATTATCAGCCAACTTTCCACCTCCCTCAGTTCTGTGGAACTTTTTAGTGTTTAGCTTATTATTATCCAGCCCACAGCTGTATTGTTCAGGGTCACTTGTACCACTCTCATGGGGTCTTCTTAAGTGAAAAAACTCCCCACTGCACTCTACCTGCTCAGTATCAGACAGCTGACAGACATATTTACAGATAGCAGGTGAACACAGTAGAGCATTTAGCTGCTAAAGAGCCAGATATTTCCCTCAGGTGTTGTTGGAAACAACAAGAGAGCTAAAAAGGAGAGTAAATATTGAACTTATGTTCAACAGGTGGCCAGAAACACAACTCCACATGAACGTTAATGTTGCTTTGTGTGTGCTATATGTGTGAATAAGTAACTGTTTGCTAACAATTTCTACATAACAACTTATATATAACAGATAATAAATAATATGTCATGCAGGTTTAATACAGACTCTCATTAACAGATCTACTGACTTTAAACATTTCTTTAAAGACACATTTGAATGGGAACAATGGTTTTAGGTTAGGTTTAAGCTGTTAAAGTGGACATGACGGACAATCAAGCAATTATGTCCATACAAACAAGTGACACAGAGCAGACATTTATGTATTCTTAAAAACAGCAGTGAAATTGAAAAGCAGTCTGTAGCCATTTTTTAGTTTCTGTGTCACAAGGCTAATCTGACACGAGTGTTTCAAGAACTTTCTTTTTTACCACTGTTCATATGAAAGACTGCCACATGGACTGAAGCTAAAAGGTGTTGATTAAACCTGTGGAAACCAAAAAAGATTATGCAAACAAAAGCAGCACTTAAAACGGATATGCATGGGTTTACATTTTGGCAATAACTGCACACCCTGTGAACCAGCAAGCTGTTGCACAGCAACACAGACTACAACCACAGAGTAGATTATGTCTCAAACCACACATGTGAATATGACACATCAGCAGCATTGTGGTACACAAAGCATTTTAGCTTACACTGAAGACTTTGCAAGTATTTTCCTATGGTTTTGTGTTTTGTTCATCTTTTTGTTTTGTGGAGCCAGAACTATTTAAAGCACACCTGGGTGGGCTAACACCTACATACATACTCTACAATTGTGAAGAGGCTACAGTCGAGTTGTTTTTACTTCTAATTCTTCTCCATCTAGAAGAATTGAGTAAAAGACGGACGAGTGTTTTACTTTTGCAACCGATACTCTTGTGGCAAATAACGGCTAACCCACATGGTTGAGTTGAAACTTTTTTTGCAAGGCGGGGCCTCCTCCCTTGGATGAGCAAAGTAGCTGCTTTAGCCCGTCACTCGTAGAGACAATAACACATTTTGGAGACAATAACACATTTTGTTAGTACTTAGTTTTCAAAAATTCATTAATAATAGTAATTTTTTTTTTGTTTAGAGTCAGTTTCATTTTAAATGGGCACAATGTACTTGTAACTTACAAGGTTTAAACTGTCAAAACAGAGATTATAGCAATACCTGTCTGGGTTATTTGATATGAGACCTTTGATGAGGTGTTATGGATAGAAACAGTCGAACCCCAACATAATTCTAATCAATTTCCCACTGTACATCTATTGCAGAGCACCTTTGCACAAAGTAACCAAAAGTCTGATGCCAAGCACAAGAAGCTCATATCAGGTGCATTTGACTGCACCAGTCACAAAATGAGTCCACAGTCTGAAGACATGTGGGGGGAATCTAATGGTCCACTCAGGCCCCTGCAGACCCTACAAAATACAAGAATTAAATTAAATGTATTTTTCATTTTAATTCCATTTTATGTTAAAACACCTTCATGTGGTGCAACCTTGCACTTTCTTATGAGAGTTCTTATGAGAATCCTCTTTTAATGATAATAATTCCGAATTACATTGTAATTGGTAATTCCTCTGATTCCATAGTTTAAAGGTAATGAAATAAAAAAAATATGCTATGGAACTGCCTGACTGAACTCTCACTGGGCTCTTGTGTTCCCATTTTTCTGTAATGAAAGTATTTAATAACCCTTGATAGTCCCTGCTCATTTTGGTTAATTATTGCTGATATTGTATGCATTCAGTTGCACGTGGTACTGACAACCGTGATTAATACTGACTTATGTCAATCAGAAACACTCATGACAAAGACCTAATGAAACCAGTGAAAAACTAGAGAACAAAGAAACAGAAATGAAACAACTTTACTGAAGAACAGCAAACAAAATAAAATCATACATAAGTTTCAAATATACATTATCATACATTCACACAAAAAACTGCAAGAGGCACACATGAACTGCTCACTGATTTAATTTATAAATAAATATCATGATCTGCACATGGATGACAAATACAAGAATATATTCATCATTTTTGCAGAGCTGTGAGTGATATTAAGATGATAAAGCAAACCACAATACCAACAAACCACGACCACTCACATATGATCTGACTGGAAAAAAGTTTGTGATGGTGGTCTTCCGTGAAATTGGCCTCCACAAAACCATCTGAAGAGTCAGTGCTGCGACTGGCAACAAATTTGTGGTTTGAAACTTCCGTTGTTGTGTAGCCCCTCACCTCTGTCATGAATAAAAGCAGGGTCATCAGCAGACACACTCACACACAGAGACCAAAGATCACTGCTGCATGTTAGCAATGGAAACATCTTCAGTCCTCCTTGTGTGCATCCTGGTGACATGTTCAGGTGTCTTACTGTGTTCTCTTTAACATGTTTTCCCTTGTAGAACATGGGTCAATGTGTCTTTGCTGTGTAAAGTGTACTTTAACATTTTTTTTGTTCCTTCACAGTCTGGACAGTTTGTGGAAGAAGCTTTGTGGTAAACATTGATGATCAGGAGCAGGTGGAGGTAGAAATCTCCACGGAGGCCGGCAAGGTAATATGCTTTACACAATTTAGGTTGCACTTAGATAATCTGTGTTCATCTTAAAATGTCAGATGACAAAATGTTCAACAAAGTGTCACATTCCCATTTGCTGTTTCTCTGAAGACTAAGTACCCCTGACTTTGGGCCAGAGAGCAATTTAAATTCTAATGTAAAGAAGCGGAACATCAAAACTAAAACCTTGATCAACACATTATTATTTATTTTGTTATTAGATTGTTAATACTGGTGAGTCAATTCTTAGGAAGCACTTTACTGTTGTAGCTACACGAGAGAGAGAGCTTGTTTTAATTACTTTCTATACATATGGGTGAAGTGTTTCCCAAGCTAGGGATCGATCCCCTCCAGTGGTCAGAATATAAATCTGAGCGGTCATTGGTTATTTATTCAGACAGGAAAGAAGAAAAATCAATGTTCTGCTTCACAAATTTATATTCTTTTATTGGGATATTTCCCTAATATTAGCATTTTTTTTTGCGTGAAATTTAGGATAAGTTTACATCTTTGTGCACCAGATATTTAAATTAAAACATATGAGAAGTTTAGACGTGAAATTACTCTTCAGTGGAACTGCTGACAAATCATGTGACAAGTATTGCACTCCTATGACTCCATAGAAAAAGGAGCCCGAACCAGATGGTCTATCATTGTTAGAGGTCACTGTATGGGCTGAAATTAGGGTCAATAGGATTTTGAGTTTGTAAAGTGGTGTTCACAACTAAGTCCACGATTTACTATAATAATAAAAATAATAACAATAATAATAATAATAATAATAATTATAGACACTATACAGAGAATTAAAATCACTTTCATTTGCAGATTCCAGGTGTGTGCTGGGCATGCAAGTGGGCTTTAAAAAAGATCAAGAAAATCATTGGAAAAAACACCACCTCAGAGGTAAAGCGTCTAAGAGCCTCAACAGTTTGATCTTGAGTATCTTTGAAGAAGCAATAATACAGTTTTTGCTCTTATAGGAGGTGAAGTCAAAGTTGAACGCCGTCTGCAATGAAATTGGCCTCTTAAAAGATCTGTGCCGCAAATTTGTGAAAAAACACCTCGGAGAATTGATTGAGGAGCTCACAACCAGTGATGATGTGAGGACGATCTGTGTGAACACCAAAGCCTGCAAGTGAGTAACCATCAAGCCTTACAGAGTAAACTACCCAATAAGTAATCTAAATATTATCATTATGATGTTTTCAGTGCATTTTGCCAGTAATACAAAAGTCCTTTCACTTATGTATACTTTTTACTGTAGGACTTTTACCTATTATGGAGTATTTCATTGCTACTTAATTACAAATAATGTTGTTACTTCTTCCAGCACAGATAATTATTTTGCTCTCTCTCTGTGCTTCTTATGTGCTCTCTTTAGGCCAAAGGAGCTGTCTCACCTGATCTTTTATCCAGGAGACGAAGATTCACAGGCTGAAATTTATGATTTTTCCTGATGTTATACACATGAATAAAAATCAAACTCTGCATTTAATTCGTAAGAAAAAACATTAACTATGTGTGCTTTGTGGTAGTGAGTGACTGGCCACACACACAGTGATTAGAAGCATTTGATCAAAAATCATTTTCAGCTTTCTTTTAATCGTAGCATTTACTCTGTGTTGCACTTTGTCTTGTACAATGACTTAGTTTTCAGTGCACATGATTTTAATAAATGTTTGCATTTCAAATTTTATTCTTTGTGGTACTGTGTCAGCCAGCACTGGGCTTTGGGATATGGGATCTATACTTTACAAGGTTTAATATGTACAAGGTCTGAAGCAATCAAAGAATGAACAATTAATTTAAAGTTAGGGCATAAAGATGGGGTTGGGTAAAAAAAAGGCAGTCTTGGTGATGTCTTTAATGTGCTTATAAAATGTAACACAAAGAGTCTTAGCGGTCAGACTTTTACAAATCACACAGTTGTCAAAAGTTACTGTTAACTGATCAAACTGGTGTCTGCATCAGGCTTGGCCAATGGCCAGCATCTGATATTCAGTTTTTCTCAGCAAACAGACAAGCCTCTTATTTCACAATTTGAGGGGTCATCCACCTTTACAGGCATATATAGCTGAGTATCATTTGCATAGCAGAGGAAATTAATTCCATGACTGTGTGTAATTTGGTCAAGAGGTGAAACATAAAGAGAGAATAGCAGAGGGCCAAGAACAGAGCCCTGGGTACATCATATTTCATGATACAGAATTCTGATTATTATTATAGGAAATATACCATGTTATTTCAGATGAGTACAAGTTTAACCACGTGAGAGCCACATTAGAGATGTCAAATTGATTTTCCAATCGATTCAGGAATATAGAATCATCTATGGTATCAGAAGCTACACTAAGATCGAGTAAGAGAAACACAGAGGTGGAATAGAGTCCTTAGTAAGCACATCATTCACCACTTCAGCTAGTGCAGATTTAGTGAGTGACAGTCCCTGAAAGGTATAGAGCGCACTGGGGGGGGGACCCTAGATAAAGGAAATTGAAACCATTCAAAAAGACTACTGTCAAATATGTAAGTGCAGAGACTCTTTCTTGTAATTTGTAGAGAATGGAATGACAGAATATGATCGAAGTACAAAATCACAAGTCATATGCATAGTTGCCCAACGACAACACTGATAGTGTCACCACAAAGCCAACACAACGAGGCTCTTGCTGAGCGAAGTTACACATGAATTTCAAATGATTTTTTTGGTGACTTCTCAGACACATTTAATTTCTTAATTTCAATGGCAACTGTAAAATGCATTTAGCACTTCAACAGAAATAGATAACCTTTTACTGTGTTAGCAAACAATAACAATAATAATAATAATAATAATAATAATACTCAATCACTTATTGAGTGAGTGAGTGAGTGAGTCTGAGTCAAAATGACAGCAATTCCGCTTCCGCAAGTCATGGATCATGAGGAATACACTGTACACTGTATGGCAATTAGTGATATGCGATACCAAGTAAAACCCAGCCTGGTATTGCTGATACCAATATCAATACTATACCAACAGGCCCACATTAAGAATGCAGAGGCCCCTGGGCACAAAATCTTGGATGCGCCCCTTTCCCAATCTGCTTTCCACATACTCAGTTCTCAGTGGAGGCTACTATCTATTGGAAACACCTGTAACTTGTACAGGATTTACATTGACAGGTTACAGCCTATGATCACAACCTGAAGGACAATATCAGCACCTGTACATATATATTATCATACAGGATTTACAATACATGAGTGAAACGATGCTTTTTTGGGTCAGCAGCAATATCAACAAATTAGCCTTCAATCCACAAGCACATACTGCCCCACATCCATCAATATAATTCTGTGATTCAGAGAGAGAGAGAGAGAGAGAGCGAGAGAGCGAAATTGATTCATACTGCTGAACAGAGACACAATGATACAACAGTTAAATAGGTTTTCAACTACGTCTCATATAAACACAGTGGAGACAAGAATATATACCTTAAATTGGGATAGTCCGTAATGTGCGATTAATAACAGGAGAGGAAGCCTACCTCAAATGACGGTCGTCTCTCTGGCCTTTTCCCTCGAAAACTCCTCCACTGTATTACTGAAGTCCATGTCTCTGTCCAGTGTTGCCTTGATTAGAAGTTCAACAGGTAGAAAGTAACAAAAAGAGGGGCTGCTAGACTGGTAACCTACTCAACCTACTCAGGGTGAGATGAGGTTGGGGCCGTTTTACAGGTGTCTTTGGCAAAGCTGTGGCTCTGTGCCTTTTTAATGCTGATGCTAAGATGAACTAACGGTAGCGTCTGCGGTCATTTTACTGTCCCCTTTCTCTGCGATGTTAGCATCATCCTCTCCCGGCTCTTTGCTAATGCTAATGTTTGTCCGAAGTTCAGTTTCTCTGATATAATTTTCTTATTTCGCTTCTCTCTTTGCTGTTCCACCTCTCCAACGTTTGTTCTCCATGATGTTTTCAGAAGCGTCTTCCGCGACCGGCCGGCTTTGGCGCTAAATTCCCATGGTCACCACCTGACCTCTGACCTGACTTGTCATCAACATGACAGAGACACAACCAGCAAACCGATCATAATAATTTTATTTGTAAATAAAGTAACTCTGTATAATTTGGTTCGCATTTCAACATACACACACTAAATTAATTTATTGATTTGAAAAAAAAAAAAAAAAGTAGTAGTAAAGTAGTGAGTTTGGACGCCCCCTAGAGGTCGGAGGCCCTGGCCCAGTCGGCCGTGTGGATAATCTGTACTTGGATACCAATGCTTTGTACAAAATACACTTAGAGGACATGAATAGGCAGGTTACAAAGGCTTATTGTTTCATACAGAATGTCATGTTATTCAAATTTAAATAAAAAATACCAGTGAAATCTATTATGAAATAAATAAATGCCATGTTAAATGCACAAAATGAGCCAATATCTATATTTTGACATAATCTGTCAACTGTCAGTCAAAGCTAATGAGACTAGATCAGTGATCATCACTGGCTGCTCATAGGCCTGCATTTAGTAAGGTCATATTTGTTGCCTATTTGAACATCAACACACAAACTGAAGCCGTGACAGACGTGAATCATTTTCTGTGTCAGTGACAGTGATAAATGTCTGTCTCTGTACCTGGATAATTCCTACCACTGCCAAACGACTCTGTGACTGAAGTCTGTCTCGCCCTAGCACCTCTCCTCTTCTCCAGACTGTTGCCCATCACATTCTGTCCTCTGATTATGTTTTACAAAGTTTGTGGTCCTCCCACACACATCACATACTGTGTTGTTGCTGATAAGAGACTTGAAAAAGTTTCACAGTAGTCTAAATTTTCAATCTCTTTTCAGTGCCTTACATAGAGCCATAGTTTGCATATAACGATGGAGTATTGGTTACTATCAAGTGGTGATTATTTAGACTAGATCCTAGTGATAGCTTAGTTACTTTCTACTGTGAATCTGTTGATGATAAGAGACACATTTAACCCAAATTACCGGGTTTAGATATCAATATTCTACTGTGAAAATAAATTATAGATTAGAAACATTTAGGATTGAAAGTATTGATATTTCATGGATCAATTGTCAGTGTTTTGCTCTGACATGGGTCATACGTGTCAGATTAAGGAGTAGTTTATTAGCAAATAAACAAACAATGAGTGAAAGCTTGCCAAACGAAAACCCACAAAGCAAGCAAATAAATTTTGATTATTCAAATTTTTATTTTGCTGTGAATTATGCACAAACATATGGAGCATTAAGTTTCAATCAAATTAAATAATTTCATTTCAAAGTTGGCACATCTGGACTTCCATATCCTGTAAGGACAGAAAATCATTTTTAGACACTCTTGACAACCCTGCACAACTAAGACAAAACAGAAAACAAGGTTTGTGGCCAAGAGTGAACCCTTTCTTAACTTAGCTCATCCGTCTCAGACACAGTTCGCCCACAGCTATCACAATGTTCAATCAAGAGCTGCATTAACCACAAGTTGACGTGCTTAGCAGTGATGTGTGACAGCAAGATCTATGTGAAAACCAGACACTTTTTCATTTATTAGAAATGGACCATTGAAAGAGGAGATGATGAGAAGATGAGTCACTTTAATTGTTTTTCTTTTTTTTGAACAAATCATACAATAATTAAGTTGTTGAAATACATGAAGCTATTCACAGTGTCCATGGATTGGTGTGTAACTGCTTATTTTCTTAGTTCAGTCCTTTTGAACGTTTAAGTGTGGAAGCCTCAAACTGTCACTGATGACTGAACACAATCAGAGAACAAAAGTACACCCTTATTATGAAAGCTGTGTGTTTAATACAATACGAGTTGGCTACTCATTTCACATTTCACAAATTCAGTGTCTGAGATAAAGATCTCTCACAAAGCACATTTAATTTTTCCTTCCTTATGAGGAGGCTGCAGCGGAGAGCAGACACTTGGTGTTTCGGTTAATGAAGTGTCCACGTGTCTTCCCAGCTCTGCTTTAAAACCTGCCTGTCCAGCTTGGTGAGTTCCTGAGAGCAAAGAGATCCTTGACCGGCTCTGTCAGACCATCCAGACCTGCACTGTCCCAGGGGCCCGACACCTGACAACCTCAGGGAGAAGCAACAAACTGAAATTCAGAGTGTATATGTGATTTTCCCAACGTTCTTTCCTTCACAAAAAAGATTTAGTATCCAAACCTGGCCTCTGTATATTTTCGCCCAACCTTATATTAGATATTCTATAACAAGCCCCCATTAAAGGCACCCTGTGGAGATTTTGACCACTAGTACCTCCATGAAGCAATATTTTTACGAGTTGATCTGTTTCACCCAATTGTACTGATGGACAATTGGTGATGATAATATGCCAAGAAACATAGGAAATGAATAAATGAATTTTCATTTCTGGCCATTTACATGACACAACATGAATCTACACAAACCAAACATTACTGCCTCATACAAATATGAACAGTATGTAAATACATTACGTCCCAAGAGACATAAAATATTAATTTAAAGAAACATTATAAAATCTGTATTTATATATCCACTCCTGTCAGTTTAAACATCGTATATCTGATTTAGTTTATTAAATAATCTGCAGTTCTTGTAAAGATCCTCCAGGCACTATGAGAGGAAAATGACACAAAGTCTTTTTATATTAAATGTGTGTCATTTATTTCTCATTGATGGTAAAGTGTGCGTGGTGTTTGAGTCGACTGTTTTGACACTGTGGTTTCTGACACCTCATCAGATCACATATGGCTCCTCGCTGTGTGATCAAATGTGATTTCAGTAAATAATCACACTAAGCAGGATGTTCACCACAGCTTTACATTTGAAACATTACTACATACCTCAGTTCATCCAAACAGACCCAAAAAAAACCCAAATATTTTCTATCTCTTCTCGAGTGGGTCAGAAGTTTACATACAATAAGTTCACTGTGCCTTTAAACTTGCTTGGAAAATTCCAGCCAATGATGTCATGGCTTTAGAAGCTTCTGATAGGCTAAATTACATAATCTGAGTAAATCAGAGATGTACCTGTCAAAGTATTTTAAGGCCTACATTCAAACTGGACTCTCTTTGCTTGACATCATGGGCAAATCCAAATAAATCAGCTAAGATGTCAGGAAAAGAATTGTGAACCTCCACAAAGTCAGGGTATTGGAGTGGCCATCACAAAGCTCTGACTTCAATCCAATAGAAAATTTGTGCGCAGAACTGAAAAGGCGTGTGCAAGCTCTGTTACACCAGCTCTGTCTTCATCTGAAGATGAGATGAAAGAAATAAAAGCTGAAATAAATTATTCTCTCTACTATTATTAAGACATTTCACATTCTTTAAAATCAAGTAGTGATCCTTACATACTGAAGACAGGTAATGTTTATTAGGATTACGGTAATAACCTTCTAGAGTCGAGGTACATATCAATGAATTTTTGCTGACTTTCTATGCATTCATTTTTGTCTTAGTATAAGTAAGTATAAAGCTGCCAGAAACCCAAAATACAAGAAAAATAACATGACGTCTATAATGATGTATAAATCTTGTGGATAAACCATATTACACCTGAGGTATTTCTACCTATCCACTGTGACTAGTTGCAGGTGAGACTGATGCCTGTGATTAATACTGATTCATGTCAAGTAGAAAAACATGCAAATACAAATAAACTGCAAACTGCACACATGAGTAGCTCACTGATTCGATTTGTAATAAACGGATGTTGTTTTTGCAGAGCTATGAGTGATATTAAGATAGCGAAGCGAACCAAAATACCGGCACTCCAACACACCACTACCGCTCATATCAGAACCTGACTGGATAAGATGGCAATCTAAATAAGTAGGAGATGTCAAGGATGTTTTGTGTGAAGCTGGTCTCCGCAAAACAGTGCTGTGAGTGGCAGCAAGGTTGTGCTTTGAAATTTCCGTTGCCATGTAGCCCCTCACCTCTGTCACGAATAAAAGGAGGGTCATCAGCAGACACACTCACACACAGAGACCAGAGATCACTGCTCCATGTTAGCAATGGAAACATCTTCAGTCCTCCTTGTGTGCATCCTGGTGACATGTTCAGGTGTCTTGCTGTGTTCTCTTTAACATGTTTTCCCTTGTAGAACATGTGTCAATGTGTCTTTGCTGTGTAAAGTGTACTTTAACATTTTTTTGTTCCTTCACAGTCTGGACAGTCCGTGGGAGAAGCTTTGTGGGTAACATTGATGATCAGGTGGAGCAGTTGGAGGTGGAAGGCTCTACGGAGGCCGGGATGGTAATATGCTTTACACAATTTACGTTGCACTTAGATAATCTGTGTTCATCTTAAAATGTGAGATGACAAAATGTTCAACAAAGTGTCACATTCCTATTTGTTGTTTCTCTGTAGACTAAGTACCCCTGACTTTGACTTTGGGCCAGAGAGCAATTGAAATTCTAATGTAAAGAAGCAGAATATCAAAACTAAAACCTTGATTAACACATTATTATTTATTTTAGGGTCAGTAAGATTTTGAGCTTGTAAAGTGATGTTCACAAATAGTTCCACCATTTCTAATGATAACAAAAATGATATAGACACTTAACATTAACATTTTTCCTCTCACATAAAGCTAAGAATTAAAATCATCCCTCACTTTCACTTGCAGGTTCCAGGTGTGTGCTGGGTATGCGAGTGGGCTTTGAACAAAGTGAAGAAAGACATTGGACCAAACACCACCTCAGAGGTAAAGTGTCTAAGAGCCTGGACAGTTTTGATCTAGAGCATCTTGGAAGAAGCAATAATGCAATTTCTGCTGTTACAGAACGTGAAATTGAAGTTGGTTAAGGTCTGCGATGAAATTTACACCTTAAAAACTGTGTGCCACAACTTTGTGAAAAAACACCTCAAACAATTGATTGAGGAGCTCATGACCAGTGATGATGTGAGGACGATCTGTGTGAACACCAAAGCCTGCAAGTGAGTAACCATCGAGCCTTACAGAGTAAACTACCCAATAAGTAATATAAACTCCACCTAGATTAACTACAACAATAAAATACCACTTAAATTTTAATACTACATGTAATATACATGTATAATCCAATGGCATATTAGTGTAACACTGACAGGGGACATTCTGCTTTTACTTTTGATACTTTCAGTGCATTTTGCCAGTAATACAAAAGTCCTTTCATTTATGTATAATTTTTACTGTAGGACTTTTACTTATAATGGAGTATTTTATTGCTTCTTTATTACAAATGATGTTGTTACTTCTTCCAACACAGATAATTATTTTGCTCTCTCTCTGTGCTTCTTATGTGCTCTCTTTAGGCCAAAGGAGCTGTCTCACCTGATCTTTTATCCAGGAGACGAAGATTCACAGGCTAAAATGTAACGAAAAAAATCTGTAATTTAACAGAATCTTAACTGTTTATTTTACAGATTTTTCCTGTATTTTTAATATACAGGTAAAAGAAGTAAATGCTCTGTAATTTTACTGAGATTTGTTTGTTAATTTACAAACATCTTGTGTAATTACGAAAGTTTTCACAACAAAAATGTTGAACAAATGTGTTTTTGTCAATTTATAACATGTATGAGCACTGGTAAACTGTCAAAATAAAGTTTTCATCATTGAAAATTGCCATAATTACTGTAATTTCACAGATGGTGACTTTTGTCCCTGATGTTATATGCATGAATAAAAATCAAACCACTGCATTTAATTCATAAGAATAAACATTAACCTTGTGTGCTTTGTGGTAGTGAATGAATGGCCACAAACTCAGTGATTAGAAGCACTTGTTCAAAAAAAAAACTATAAAAGCTTTCTTTAAATCGTAGCATTTACTCTGTGTTGTACTTTGTCTTGTACCATCATTTACTTTTAAATGCACATGATTTTAATAAATGTTTGCATTTTAAATTTTATGAATATTCTTTGTGGGACTGTGTCAGCCAGAACTGGGCTTTGGGATCTGGGATCCATGCTGTACATACTAGGTCTAATAGATTCATTGAGACTGAAACTGTCCTGCCAGGGGGACAATAACACGTACAAGGTCTGAGGTAATCAAAGAAAGAACAATTAACTTAAAGTTAAGGCAAAAAGATTAGTCTGGGTGAAAAAAGGTGGTCTCTGTGATTTCTTTAACGTGCTGATCAAATGTAACACCAAGATTCTTGGCGGTCAGATTTGAACAAAACACACAGTTGTCAAGAGTTACTGTTCACTGACCACTGGGCCGCAGTGAGAGTCCATATGTAGCTGTAGTTTTGTGTTGGCATATCAGTTCCAAATATCATTTATCGGTCTCCTTTATGACTAATAATCGGTGTCGGCCCTGAAAAAACCAGTTGATCCCTACTAGCTGTTCATTTCTCAGTTCAATTGAAATCTCAATCAGTTGTTAGGATGCAAGGATACAGTCACTCACTCCCTTTGTGGTTGAATCAATTACTTTAATACTCACTGTGTTAGTGATACCACTGGTTACCTTTCCAATTTGATAGTAGAACCCAGGTTGGTATCACCGATACCAATGCCATACCGACAGGAGGGATTAAGAATGCAGAGGCTCCTGGGAATTTTCTCTTGTCCACCTAATGAGTGACTGACCCAGCTACTGCACTAAATCTTACAAGCTTTGAGATGCTGAGGCGGCTCCTCCAGACGAAGCTGCGCCTTCTGCTGATACTGGTGGTGCCACGGCTGATAACAACAGACCTTGGATGGGCAGTAACAAGTAGCTAACTGTTCTAAGAATCAGCACTCGTACGTATGTAGTCATGTTTCCTCGGCAATGGTTAATGAACCAGTAGTGTAGTAACACATCCCTCTCCAACCCCTTCTCCATCTTATGGGGTTATTTGACCAATTATGGAGTGCAAGCGATCTATAGTTATTTTTCTAAATGTATAAAACCTATCCCCAGAGGTTCCGGTTTTAGAATTGAGGTGATATCATGCACAGAAACCTGTATTGATGAATCCTCCTTTCTCCTTGATCAAGCATCAATAAACATCCTCAGCATAAGACATCCTGGACTCCAGCGCTCGTTCAACACAGGTGATAAGAATTTCCTTAACACTCTTGACAACCCTGTGCAACTGAGATAAAACAGATACCAGGTTTGTGGCGAAGAGTGAACCCTTTCTTATCACATCTCATTTGTCTCAGACAACAGTTTACCCACAGCTATCACAATGTTCAATCAAGAACAGCGGCAAGCACAAACTGACGTGCTCAGCAGTATTGTGTGACAGCAAGATCAGAGTGAAAACACTCTTTTTCACACATTAGAAATGGAGCATTCGGTGCCTCGTTGGCTCACCTGGTAGAGCGCTTACCACATGGACTTAGTCCTAACCGCAGCTGCCATGGGTTTCAATCCTACCCATGGCCCTTTGCTGCATGTCATCACCTCAGTCTCTCCCCATGACTTTCCTGTCTATCTCAATGTACTATCAAAAATAAAGGCAAAAATATAACTTAAAAAAAAAGAAAAAGAAATGGACCATTGAAAGCAAAAGCATCATGAGTCACTTTAATTGTTTTTCTTTTTTTGAACAAATCATACAATAATTAAAATTGTTGAAATACATGAAGCTATTCACAGTGTCCATGGATTGGTGTGTAACTGCTTATTTTCTTAGTTCAGTCCTTTTGAACGTTGGTGTAAGTGTGGAAGCCTCAAGCTGTCACTGATGACTGAACACAACCAGAGAAATACAATAATAATACAAGTTGGCTTCTAATTTCACATGGTTAAAAATTCAGTGTCTGAGATAAAGATCTGTCACAAAGCACATTTCATTTTTACCTCCTTATGAGGAGGCTGCAGCGGAGAGCAGGCACTTGGTGTTTCGGTCAATGAAGTGTCCACGTGACCGAGCATTGTCCCAGCTCTGCTTTAAAACCTGCCTGTCCAGCTTGTTGAGTCCCTGAGAGCAAAGACGGAGATCCTTGACCAGCTCTGTCAGACCATCCAGACCTGCACTGTCCCAGGGGCCCGACACCTGACAACCTGAGGGAGAAGCAACAAACTGAAATTCAGAGTCTATACTTAAAGTCTATGCAAAAAAGATTTAGTATCCAAACCTGGCCTCTGCATATTTTCGCCCAACCTTATGTTATATATTCTATAACAAGCCCCCATTAAAGGCACCCTGTGGAGGTTTTGAGTTATGGTGCAGATAGGACAGACATGAAGGTTTCAAATTCTTCCCAAGTAGACACATACACACATACAGTACATACCTTGAAGGTTTAGAAGGGTCAAAGGTCGAGAGGCCTCTCTAAGAGAGTTCAGGATGCTGTGAAGTCCTGCTGAGGTGACAGATGGGTTTCCTGACAAGTTTAAACTCAGCAGAGATGGACATGAAGGCAGGAACCTGGAAGGGAATTAGAAAAAAGACTCAGAGCCAGGCAGCAGCAAAAGATCAAACCAAACAAATCATAATTGGGATCATAATTATGAGCCATGCAAGTTGGAAAATGCTCCAACACACGCACCTGGCCAAGGTGGCTACACTGCTGTCCGTCAACCCGTTCGCTGCCAGACTCAGGTGGGTCAGAGAACAGTCCTCCTATGATAGAAGATAAATGCCTTCATTTGTTTGTCCTGTACAGCAGCTATAGTTCCACATAAACCCCTCAATCAATCAATGCACTATAGACTATAGATTTGTATATTTCACTATATGATTCATGTGTGTGTACCTGTGACACAGCTTTGGTGAGGAGTTCCAGTGCCGGGAAATCAGCAGGACCCTTGCGGACGGCCGACAGGTCCAGGTGTGTGAGGGAGTGGAGAGGCAGAGTCTTCAACACCAGCTCAAAGCCAGTGGAGCCCAGTGCATTGTGGGATAGACACACTGATTTCAGGTGGCCAGTGCCTTCAAGATCAAAGGATTGTAATTTACTCATTTTAACGCCGCTCCAAAAACATATAAAGCGTAAATAAATGTAATTGAATCTTAAAAATATTTGGCTTGTTAGCTTTATCGATAACAGAGGGATTAGATGTTAGCTGGTGAGACACTTACTGCAAACTCCAAAGTTCGAAATCAAAGCGAACACAACTTTATGCATCCCATTATACAACACACTCCATCCATCCCCCTCTACATTTCGGGCCGTTACCTGTCAGAGCGCTAGCTAGCAGCAGTCGATGCTGCTGTAGGAATCGAGCAGTGAGGCCACAGGCCTGCAGCGACAGCTTGGCTAACAGAGGGCAACAGGACAGCAGACAGGACAGGGACTCTGACACACCGTCACCCAGGGGGTTCATACTGATGTCAAGCTCCTCCAGGCACTACGAGAGGGAAAACGACACAAAATAATTTATATTAAATGTGCGTCATTGCCAAATGTGCATGATGTTTGAGATGACTGTTTTTGACACTGAGGTTTCTGACACCTCTACTGATAACACAGGCCCCCCCCCCCCTGTGACCAATGAGATTTCAGTAAATAATACCACTAACTGAGGTGCAAGTGAAACTGTCACACTTACACCGCGTTCGAAGTAAACTGAAAAAACTATGATGGTAGAAAGTTTCATTAAAAAAAAAAAAAAAACACTGTGTGAATCCCTGAGAAGCAAATAAACGATGTACCCACAGCCGTATGAGTAATGACAAATCTAACGATTTGTAACACTGCCACACTCATCAACCAAATGAAACACAACAAAAAACATTTTCTTACCCTCCTGTTTTTCATCTGTCTCACAGATAGTTTTAGTTTTATCTGTTTTAAAGTTTAGTTCAGTTTTATCTTTTATCTTTTGAGATATCCATTTCCTATTGCAGATGACGCACAACAACATAAAAAGGTGACTTGAATTTTGTTTGTGGCACATTGAAAATATGCATTTCTGAAAACTTTTGGTTCATTTGGGTCCCAGTTGCTGTTAAGTTTAGTTAATTTGATTTTTCATTGCTTTGAGATTCACTTTGTTGTCCTGGTGGTGGCAGAAGTGTCAGAGGCCAAATCGCTGCACATAAACCAGAAACCAGCAGCATGACAAAGAGTGAAAACATCGTCATTTAGGATTTATTTACCCTTTAAATATACTATTATATAAAACTGCTTATAATGATCACAGTTACAGTGATCAACTGCTTATATGGCTCAAAAGGGACAGAATCATTCATATACAAATGCTGTTTAAATCATTTGCTTATAGTAATCAAGTAGTCTGCTCACAGTGCTCACTTTGTGTCTTTCAAACATGACATTGAAATTTTTTATTTTTTATAAACAGGCTATTTTCTAACTTATTTGTACGAGGTTTTTGCTCTGCCACAGCGTGTAACGACTGACCATGTCTGCTTCCCCAACTGTGTGTGAGCGTGAACGTGTGTGTGTGCGTACGTGTGCCTGCTGCACGCACTTGTGAGATCTTCCCCTCCACACATTGCCATGTTTCATTGAGTCATTTTGCCCTAACGCTCCTGTCCTGTTCGCATTGCAGGACTTCTGCAGTGGGTAAGTATCGCCCCCGCTCTCTCGCAGCAGGAGGTACGTTACATGAGTCGAGTGTATTTCACACCGACCATTCACACTAGGCTTGGAACAGGAGAGGGCCACGTTTACGTTATTTTATCCATCTTATATGACCTTTAAATCAGTAAATAGCCAAGCTATCAGTTTCATTACTTCATAATCATGTAATAAATATACAAATGTTGTGATTACTATTAGCGATTTCCACTGTAATTTAAATTTACTAGAGTGTCAACTTTAATGTTGATCTAAAGAGTATCGGACGTGGGAACAAATTTTTACCCAAGCTACATGAAACACTGATGACAGCAGGTGAAATAAAAACAGACTCGCCAAGCTGAGGTCTTTACCGGAAACGGCTGGCTCTGTCCCGTTAAAGCATTTGCTGCCTTCTCCAGTCCTTCCCCTGTAATGTGATTGGCAGAAATGTCCAGCAGCCGAAGCCGAGGCATGGTGATGGTTGTGGCCACCAGCTCAGGGAGAAGGTTGTCGTGGAGACGGTTGCCGGAAATACGCAGCTCAGTGAGGCTGGCCTGAAGTTTTAAGGCACGGAGCAGAGGGTTGAGGGAAGCGGGGGCCAAACTGAGGCCACACACCGACACAGACGAGCTCCCATCTTGCACCTCACACAGCCTGGTGACACGCTTGCTCTCATCTGCAGGGAGACAAAGAGACAGCTCGCTTCATAAAGTATTATTGAAATGCGTTTGTCTGTGTGCGAGTGCATTTGTGTGTGCTGCTCACCCACTGCCAGGCTGTGACAGGCCTTTTTGTAACGCTCAGGGAGAGGAGGGAGATCCCAGGAGCACACTTCAGCCAAAACCTGCAACATAGCACGATTACAATTCTGTCCTAAAAGAAACCTTAAAAACAGCCTTTATGCAACACACTTTTTCTTCATGTCTGCCCTCAAACTGCACTCACTTCTTCATTAGTGTGCAGGACAGCCAGCAGCAGGTCCTGTGGGGAGAGGAGAGCACCTTCTTTCTGCAGCGAGAGACGAGGCAGGAGGCCACATTTCTGGTAGTAACGCTGAGCGGCCTGCTCACACAGCCACGATACAGTGCAGGAGTCTGCCTCACTACAACACAGTGGAGTGGATATGGGTGTTAAAGACATGCAAAAACACCTGTATTTAACCAAAGTTAAATTTTAAATCCCAAAATAAAATAAAAAAAAAATCTAAATTCTGCTGCTGTCAGTCTCTTAAAACTACAAATGTCATAATTTGACAGAATATTTTTGAGGGAAATAACAAATAATGACGTGTAGTTACTCTTTGAAAAAATAAAAATCAACCTTTGTGGAACTGGGATGAGGAAAACATCTTCCTGAACTCTGACCCTCATTCTGATTGGTGGTGGCAGTGATGTGGGCATGGGAGCAGCCAATGTGTGAGCTGGAGGCTGAAATATACAAATTGAAAAACAAACAACAACAAACAAAAGATATGATTACTGTATCACAAAATTAAGTACACATACTTATGTACGTTTAGAAACTGCTATTGTGAATTAAATAACTTTCAACGGTCAATGTTGCCCACACCTAAAACTGCAGCTTCCAAAAAGGCCATGAAGTTGAATTAACACCTGTTTGAAACAGCTTCAATACAAAGTGAACATTTTAACCTTCATGAAGGTTGGATTTACAGCAGGGCTTTTGTATTATACTGCAATAGTTTTAGCTAGTTATAATTAATCAACAAAGTGTGAAGTGTTACACTTGCGAACTTACAGTGTGATTTTTAAAAACACACAAAATCCATTGAGGTCCCTGATGAAGTCATATTCAAGCAACAGCGGTATCTTAAAATGGCTCCACTTTCAGCCCTCACTCTCTCTCTCTCTCACTTACAGCCACATTTATCACTATCTAACTGAAGAATGATGTTACAGTTATGGCCCCTGTCATACTGAAACACTGATAACCATCTCGCTGGGGTCAACGCTGTCCTGAATAAGTAATATGAAAACTCTGTCTCTTGTTTTGACTTGGATTTCTTGGAACATGTTTTTCTAAAACTCGTCAGACTAATTGGAAGGATACCTGCATGCGTATTTGTGGAGGTCGTGGAGGCGTCTCAGGTGTCGTGTCGTCATCATCTGTAACGGTGGGGCTGTGCGGCCTGTTCACCTCTCGCCTGCCCAACCTCACCATGCCGGGCATCTGAGTCATTTTGACCTGGTGAGGCCTCAGAGAGCCATTTTTCAGAGAGAGCGTCCTGCTGGAGGAGGAGGGAACTGCAGAACCTAAAAGAAGAAGAAGAGCATAATGAAGGTAAAAGAAGCACCGAAAACGTGGAGCAAAATAAAAATGAAATAAAAACTGAAGATGTCGTTACCTCTGCAGCTCGTGTCAGTGTTTAAGTGCCTGTTTTGACTCCTGGCGGCTGAAAACGAGGCCGAATCCTCTCCCGTCATCCCGTCCTGCTCTACTCGAAGCCTCCTCTTCTTCTTCGGCTGGATTTCCCCCAAATCATCCTCCAGCCAGTCATCAGCCAGATACTCCTCCTCAGGAACCAGAGCTGATTTATTGCTGGATGATACAGCGGGTGTGCTGGAGAACTGGGGTTGCGACGGACCCTGGAGAAGAGATTTGGCGCTGCCCAACCCTCGAATGGCACTGTGGTACTCCTCTCGTGCAAAGACAAACGGCGCGGGGGTCTCCCTGATACTTTCTCGACCCGAGGTAGGGATCGAGCTGGTTTCTTTGTTTGGTGGAACTTCCTTTTGACTCGGGGCTGCTGGGAAACTGTGTCTCGGGCGGACGGGACGGAGAGGACTGATGGGGCAGTCAGAGTCGCTGTCGTCCGAGCAGCTGCTGTTCTTCTAAGGGATACATATACATAAAAATCATATACTGCAAGAGTAGATCTAAAGAATCCAGTTTGTATAATCTCAGTAAATCCAAAGCGGGTGCAGGAAGACGTTGTGTAGTATTTTAACCCGCAAAGAAAGCATTCATCAGACATTACCCCATACAGGACAGCAGCCTCTGTTCCTCTGGCTCTGTGCCGCTGTGTCGAACCATTGCTCTGCCACCGTTTGGGGCTGGCAGGTGCTGCCTTCACCTCAGAGTTCCTGTTGTTTCGAGGCCAGTCTTGGCTGGCGGAACCGCCCCCTCCAGAGGGCGACAGCGGCTCCGAGTTCTCGGCATCAAACAGCTGGCTGTCCTGCAGGGCATCGAAAGGCTTGGCTGGGGCCGGAGCAGCGGGCACTGTGGTAGACAGAGATAAGTGGAGGAAAAACAAGTGCTTGAAAGGATATTTAAAAAGCAAACTGAGGCTAACATGGCAAGAGCACGTGAAAGGCTCACCTCCCCCTGCGAGTGCTTTCCTCAGCAGTCTCTCTGTAATGATACACTCCTGTTTGGTGTCCCGGTCCAGCTCTCTGCTGTACGTCCTCTGCCACTGACGTAGGGTGTCCGCGGCCGTGTCACCCTGACGGAGGAGAGTGAAAACATGAAATAGAAACACACATAAGTGCAAAGTGGGACATGATTTTATCCTCTGGGGAGGTGGGGTGTTTTCTATCTTACCAGTACTGGTCACTAATAAAAACAGACCCAATTTTTGGTAAACTTCCTGGTGTGAGTTAAGAAAAAATTAGGAAGAATGTAAAGCAACATGTACAATTACTGCATCCAGTTTCTGGAGATATTATGCATCAAAAACGTTGGCGAGGATGTGATGAAAACCAAGCTTCACCTATCTGTTTTGTTGGTTTTGTTCAATATTAAAAAGACATTCTGGGGAAAAAAAACATTACTGTATGAATTTTGCCTGATGAAGGTCTGAGGGTCTTAATAAAGTGAGTTCAGGTGATGAAAAGTCTGTGGTATTTTTTTTTATTTTTCTTTTCAAGTCAGGAGTTTTTGATCCTACGCACCTGTCACTAAGACTTTATGGTGTGCAAGAACTTTTTTTTGAAATTACATCCTTGGAAAAATCATTACAGAAACTGCTACTTGGCAGAAAACCAACAGAAATTTTGTGTAAGGATGATATGCAGTATAATTATGCACAATTTGAAATGTGGAATGTCCATGCATCCACAATAGGGAAGAAATAATATTGAATAAATAGATAAAAACCATGGAGCAGATTACATTTAAATCAAGATGGAACTTAGAATTACAAGTGAATGGGTTTCCTGCAACATCATTTTCTATTAAAGAATCTTTTGAAATTTACCAGCTGCTACAAATCCATCAACACACACACACACACACACACACACACACACACACACACACACCTTGGAGTTGCGTAGCGTGACAGAAGCCCCTCTTTCCACCAGGAGCCTTGCAACCTTTAAATTGCCACAAGCGAGGGCATCATGAAGAGGAGTCACTTTTTCACATAAGGGGCCGCCGGGGTCATTGATGTTAGCGCCGCGCTCCAGCAGCACAGCGACAACGTCTGCATGAGAAAAAGAAAGAACGACAAGAGGATGGAAGAGAGTGTTTATTTCTTTATAACCATGAAAACAACTTTCAAACAAGGTTCAATACAGGTAATCCTAAATTGGTTACCATAGTGACCGTGGTTGCAGGCCTCATGCAGGGGAGTCCAACCACAGTAGTCTCTGGGGTTCACAGGGTGACCCTGACATACAGACAGGAGCAGGAAAACATTAATAATCAAACAATCCGTATTGTTACAGTTTCTGTATGTAGACCTTGTTTTTTATTCTTTTATCCTTATAAATTATTCAAAGCTGAGCAGAGACCGTCTCTGAGGTGAAGTTTGTTTTCTTTGTATAGTAAATATTTAACAAGCTCAGACAAGAAGCTCAAGTTGAAGAAATTTGTTACTGTTTACTGAGGATTTTACTCTCATCTGTCTGACTTTCATTTTGTTTTGCTCTCCATTTTGCATTTTTGGGTAACATTTCTGATGAAAAAAAGGGTTATTTTAAAAACAAAAATGATAAATCTTGTTTTTCCTCACCTGTTCTACCAGATACTGGACCTGCTTCAGGTTTCCATCTATACATGCTCTGTGCAGAGACGTCTCACCCTTCTCATTCCTCTTGTTCCACTAAAGTGAGGAGACAGAATAAAGGAGCAGCACGAGACATAAGAAGGTCAGAGGGTAAGGATGTAAGATGTGGAGTTTAAAGGTGAGGTGATTACCTGTGCAAAGTAACAACTGATAAATGACTCACCCTTCCCGCCTTCCTCCTTCCTGACACCATCTTGTCATAACCCTCCAAATCATCATCTAGAGACCATATGGAGAGTGGAACATTAGATAACTAATTTAATCCAAAAATGTCACAGGTCAACTCAAAGAGTTGGATAGTGGACAGCACGTAGCCCACCTGAATCTGAGAGGACGACATCACTGTCATCCAGAGGTTCGCTGTTGTCCATCTCCTCCTCTTCATCCTCCTCGCCATCACTCCCATCTGGACTCCAGCCCTCTGCAGCACACAGCTCCCGCAGCATCGCCTCAGTGTCCTCAGCATCTGGTGAGCCGCTCCGTCTCCGGGAAGCCAACCAGAGCCTCAACACACGTTTCTGTGGGAAGAGAAAGGAAGGAAAATCTCCAAACTTCAAAAAGTCTCCCTCCAAGTTTATTCATTCTAAGTCTTCAAATTTATAGTATGCCTATGTGGATTCAGCTAAATAAGAAAAGTGCTAGGAATATTACTCAGTCAGCCTGTTAATTTAATTTGACAATTTTTATTTTTTTTTTTAGATCTTAACCAATAACCAATTAATTTCCATTTTTTTTCATAACTTCCAGCTGCTGCTTCCACCTCACCTGTAGTCTGGCCTGCCCAGACGTCTGGGCGCAGCGTAAAGCCGTACTGTAGCTGCTATCTATATCCTGGGAGACACAGCTGCTCTCCTCCTGAGCTGTTGCGATGTTCAGCCAAGTGCTGCATTCCTGATAGAGACAGATTCAGGTGACAAGTTAGATTCACAAGTATGGACACCGACTGCCTGAATGAATGATTTATCAATTACAGTATTTTCTATTATTGTCATATATTGTGATTTGTTTTCTAAATTAAAACTACAAGCCAAATAATCGTGGACTTGATAAACTGCTGATTTTCCATGTAAAGAAGAATATACGGTATATTTTATAGAAATTTATTGCGATATTTTATACTCTAGTTGTTTTAAAGCCAAAATATATGGATGTAGCAAAGCCTATAAATGAGGACAAGCATAAAAAAGACGCTCAAAAAAATACACACACATCAATTGACAGTCTACTACAAAATGTAAGCACAATAAATTGATTCCAACTTAGATTTTTCAGTGTATTGAAGCAGTTGTTTGTTCTGTTAGTATAATTATGGTGTTAAATTAGGTCTGTTGTTAGTAGTACTAATGCTGGTAGAGATCATTGCACAACACCCAATACACATTTAACATGACACTGCAGACATTTAAAAACAGAGTAATGTTGGGTGAAGGTGGAAGTTGCGCTGAACAATATGCACAAAAAAAAAAAAAATCATATTGTGATAAGGACAGAGAGATATTGCGATATGAGTGAGGATCATAGTGGGAATGGTAATTTTTGCATTTCACTGTCACTGCAAAAAAAAAAAAAAAAAAAAAAAAAGAAACAAAAAAAAAACCAAAAAAAAAATAAATAATATAATATATAATATATATATATATTATATTATATATATATATATATATATATATATATACAGTATATATATAAATAAAAATGATGATGTGATTTTTGGTGGAGCTTGTACCAAACAACAAATCACATTCTCCACACAGAAGGGATGTTCCCTTCCGTGTGGAGAATGTGATTTGTAAGCCAGGGCCTCTCTGTAACACCACCACGCTTCACTTATGGTATGTTGTGACACAAATTGCAGCTCCTGCGATTTGGATAATGCACGTGGCCATATTGCGATTTCAATAATATTTAAATTAATTTTTACAGCCCTAGTGAAGATGCGGTCGTGTATACCTCTGAGGAGCTGCCCTGTCGTAAAGCCAGCTCCTGTCTGTAGTGCTCCACTGCCTTGCTGTGCTGCCTTAGATCTGTGTACGTCGCAGCCAGGGACACATGAATGACAGCCAGCTCCCGGGCAGCCTTCCCCAGTGCCTCAGCGCCCTTAAGCTGCACCAGAATGACAACACAGGTTTATATAATTCAATGCTCTTGCAATCTACTATACAGTTGCTAAAAGAGAGACATATGAGAAAAGTTAAAATGCAGTGGATATCGGGTGCTAAAAGTTAAAACGGCTGGGATATGAGTATTGTCCATGTAGATCTTTTAATGTTTCTCACTTGAGCTTGATAGGCATCCAGAGCTTTGCTGTAGCAGCCGATTTTACAGTAGAGGTCTCCCAGCTGCTCTGCGAGCTCCACGGCCTGATGGGAACCAAGTCTTTTGCCTTGATCCTCCCCCAGCTCTTCCTCTAATTTACAGCCCCGGTCAGCTATGGAAGAGGAAAAACAAATCCTGCCATTAACTCAAGCATCTTGAAAAGAAAAAAACATTAAAACATTAATTCAACAAGGTTGGGGTGAATCGAAACTCGCTCTGTCACCATATTTGAAAACTTTCTTCACTGCCTGCCTGTCCAGGGGCTGCTGGGAACCCAGCACGAGAGCTTTCTTCAGAGATCGTCTAGCTGCTACAAAATCACCAAGAGACAGCTGCACCTGTAGAAAAACATCATGAGGACACAGACACACACACTCACTCACTCGTCAAAAACTGTAGAATCACCGTGACAGACAAATGGGAGGGTTGGGTGAGTTCGTACCTTGCCGATGCAGTGAAAGCACTCGCTCTCACTGAACTTGTCTTTAATCTTCCTAGCACACTCTTTAGCTTGTTCCAGGCAGCGCACAGCATTAGACTGGTGGCCGTTACGAAAGTAGATGTTGCCCAGGTTAAAGTTTGCACGGTAGAGATCCTCCAGCAGCTGGCTCTTCCTTTACAGTAGGAAGGAAATGGAGGAAGACAGAACGATTAACAGCAAGAAAATGGAAGGCTCCTGACATTTTGCCGTCTTCCTGCCTGAGATTTTACACTAGGACATAGTAGTATAGTACAGTTTAGGAATTTCATACTCAGCGATGAAGACACTTCGGCGAATGAACTCGCTGCAGCGTTTGGGCTCCCCCAGATGATCGCAGACTAGACCAAGATTGAGGAACAGGCGAGCCTTCATCTCACTAATCTCTCGCCCTGGCACTGTCCCTAGAGTTAAGGAAAATTAAGAAAAAACAAAAGGTTAAGACGAACAAATAATCAAAAACTGCTTAACTATATTCTCCACAAATTCCAGAGGATACACACGAGTCTGTAACCAAACAGAACACACCTTCTAGACGATCATCCACAATGGCCAGGCTCTTCCTGAAGGCATCCTCTGCTTGCTCTAAACTCTTCCTTGACTGGTCCGATTCATAACGGAAGAGGTAGGTTCGACCAATAGTAGCCAGCGCCCTTTGTTCCTCCGCGTGATCTCGAACAGAGCGAGCCAAGTCCAGGTGATACTGCTGGTGCTGGAGAAGACAAATATATACAAGCCCTTATGTGCTTCGGAAAATATTGCTTGTGGGACTACAATGTTGTTGTTGTCCCGAAAATCTGCATCACTATAGTACTGCGGTAAAGTACAGCTTTGAAGAATCTGGTTTAATGGCCACACAAGTAATTTTTCCAGGCATTATAAAGCCAACCAATCTACTCACTTTCAAAGCCGCCACAATGTTTCCCATCTCTGCAAAGCACTCTCCTATCTTACGATTGGCCACAGCTCGTCCAATCACGTCATTCAGCACCTCAGAGAGCGCCAACTCCTGCTGGTGCTCCCTAATAGCAGCCTCATAGTTACCTGAGATACAGGGGGATCAGACAGAACAAACTGACTAAACAAGCAGTCAAAAAAAGGACTTGGGTTACACAACAAACGTTACGAATTCACATCAAGTCCAAAATGGAGTTGATAGGATGGAAAGTAGAGAAGGAAACAGTAAAGAATATGAATAAATAGATTGAGAGTAGAATACAGTAATCAAAACTCCACTTTACATCACTGTAAAACATTAGACATGTTATTGTGATGAATGCCAAGGGACAGAAGGAGGACGTCGATCTAACATGTACAAAATATACCACCGAGACAGAGGACATGATTGCAGACTTGTAGAGATTAGTATCATTAAAGACTGGTGTAAAAAATATGATAGAGTGAGGAGGTAGTGGGGAAGGCAGACAACTGGAGTGAATAAGCAAACAACTGTAGTAACTCTACCCAGAGTTAAATCCATAAACAGACAGAAAAAGCAACATCAATGATGCTACCTTCCATTGACCTCACAAAAGAAGAAGAAGTACCAGACCATGTCCAGTTCATGCAGAGATGATGTATGGAGTCACTGATTCAAAACAATTAAAAACTCACAATACATACATGTGCCATACAAAATGATGTTAATATATAACACACAAGCCAGCTCTCCATGTAAGAATTCATGTCTACTTGCGTCACCTTCATCTAGTGTTATAACAAATGTCCTATTTACACAAATGTCTATAACTTGCACATTTCTCCGGTCAATAAACGTAACATTGTAAACAGCCACAAGATGTTATTAATGGAACTGGCACAATCAACCCTGATCCTAGATATCATATAAACAACTTACCATTTCTGGACAGCAGCTCTCCTAGCTGGTTGCAGATGCTTGCCTCCTCTCGTAAGTTGCTACTGTTCTGGGCTTTGCTCTTTGCTTTCTGCAGCTCTGCAGAGTGACCACACATGAAACATTTCACTGACAACAGTCAAGTAAAACGCGTGTCCACTTCCACACACGGGTGACTATTAAAAACAATGCTTACGTTTTATCTCCCGTGAAGAACTCATCTTGATTCCGCTCTGGAGCCTGAGCTGGATGTAAACGACAAGGCAGCGCGCTTCGGTTTAGCTAGCGCTGCTAAATGAGTACCAACGGAGAAGCTATGAAGTCACGCAGTTAACCACGTTTTCACTTCAGCTTTTTTTTAACGATATGCGTCTTTGCTTGTCCATTAATGTTCTCGATGTCATTTAATGCATTCGATCGTGTTCAATGTCTCATGAAAACAGCGATAAACATTGGACGTATCGCGGCTTCAGCTACCAGCCTTTACAAAGCCCCGCCATTACTGGGAGCCAATGACTTCACTGCATTGAAATATGGTTAAGTTTTGCCCTAAGTACAGTTCTCAGGCTCAAACTCCACTTTAATAACTGGGAATAAAAGGTAATGTGTCCAATCCTGTCCCCAGCTCCGGCCATCTGCTATAAGATAGCACTTAAACACAACGCTTCTGATGTGTTGACATCTCTGTGTGCGTTATACAGCCTAAGAACAGCGTGCGCCTGTCTGTCTGACAGACCAGATTCCGGGGGAAAAAAACTTCTCATCGAAACGGCGGCGGTTCATTGGCTAACGACAACTCGTGGCAGCTGTCGTAGTTCCCCATAGAAACACAGTGGAGGGATCATCAGTTGCATCGACACGGAAGACACCGTAGCTGTCCTGTTATAGTCTGACACCTAGCGATTGTTTGTTCACTCAAATCTGCTACAGCACATAAGTATGAAAACATGTCAATGCCTTGCGACTGAAACAACACGCAGAAGTTACAGACAGTCTCTAGTCCACAGCAACGCCTTGCACTGACTGTGAGCCAAGCAGGTCAATCAGGTAAAAAGGTATATGCTTCCAGGTATCACATCTAAATCCTGTGACACATTGATTCAGTGTTGAGGAAAACCCAACTTTTTTTGTACCAAGAGAAATAAGGATTTATATTTTTATAGTCATTATAAAAATACTGGAAGTTGGGAGCCCATTCCTGCCAGAGAAATAATAAAAAAAATGAATTGATGGAAAAACAATCTCACAAAAATGACAGAGTAGGAAGTCAAAATGGTAATGTAGTATCTAGAAACCGAGAAATGTATGTCATGGCCAATATTATTGGCCGATTTAAGGTTATCAGAGAGTTTGTTTGTGCCAGAGAATATATCAGCTAATAATAGGAAGGAATAGTAGTACATCAAGTCAAATGTTCTGGTTTTCTCTGCCTACTAGTGGTGACTGCATGCTTTTTCCACTCATTGTAAAGCTTTGATGCTGCATCATAGCAGAGTCACTGTGACTTCACCTGTCTTCGAGATTTACTGCATGTCCTCCATCCCAAATAGTCCAGTACAGGTATGTTTTTCCTCTTTTTTAAACTTTAGTGTAGATTTACCCTTTAGAAATCAAGTATCAACCAGGCTATAATAACCTTGACTTAGTAAATCATAATTATGATTATACAATATAGTGAGTAAGAGTAAGTTAATTGTAAGATTGTAAATCAGAATTGTGTTGTTTGTCATAAAGGACATCCTCCGAAGAAGTTTTATTTCGATTCCTCAACTACCTGTTTTTTTCTAATTGCCCTGAATTAGCAGGCTTCCATTTACACATTAGATTTAAAAAAAAACATGCTTGGACTCGCCCCTGAGAAATAGATAGATATTTTTACTGTAACCCCCAAAACTAAAATTCAGTGTGCAGGTGGATGGGTTTTTTTTCCATTTTTATTTTACAAATTTTCAAACTGTTTTGTGTCAACAATTTCAAATTCAACCCATGATGTCTCTAATGTGAATCTTAAATTAAATTTGAACACCACTAGACTAAAGTAAGCTCACCGTAACTCAGGCGCAATAACTCAATAAAGGATATTCAGCTGATTGTTTGTTGCCTGTGTTGGTTTATACAGTTGGTGGCTGTTACATTTGCTTGGTCAGCAGGATGACTGTAAAGAAGGGTCCACAAATCTCAAATACAAACAATGTCTAACATTACTTACACCCGTTTGCAGATTGACGTCCATGGAGCTAACCCACATTCATGATCTTATAATCCAACTGTTCAGCTCGCTATAATAAAAAAAAGGGGATTGACACGTGAGTTGGATGATGATGATGTCAGTGCTGAGATGTTTGTTTTATTTTTGATTGGCTTATTCAGGTGGAAAGCACGCATTGACAGACAAATAGTGATGCACTCTGTAGTGTTGTTGAATCGAAAAACACATCTATTATTTGTTCTCCTTGAGATCACACTGGTGTTTGATGCTGTCTGTTGGAACCCAATGCATGTGTTATTTTATTTTTTTTATCAATCATCTGAGAAAATAAAGGACCAAGTAATTGCTGAAAAATTCTGCAAAGATCAAAAAGTCAGTTACCTTCTTGGCTTAATATTTATATATAAACATAAATATCATATAAATTAATATTATATATTATATTTAGATTTTAAAGGTTTCTTGTTTAAAAACTCTGTTTGCCTTATTTCTATGGGATTTGTTGGCACATCAACCTGTGAAATCATGTAGGGAGCATCCAAAAATATTCCCAGATCCAGGTCCCTCAAGAAGACATAGTGAAAAACACCACAGCAGACAGAAAGAAAAATAACTCTGCGATCAAAAACCCCACATTCAAAACATTTTTGACATGCAGACGCGAGACCGCAGTATCAGAAGGAGCCTTTCACGTTAGACACAGAGCTTCCTGTCAGCCTCTGCGAGTCTGTATCTCTAAACCGTTGACCTTACAAATGAGCACGCTGCATCACTGTGAGAATTGGTGTTTCTGGGCGGTGCAAAGTGGAGTAGAGCACATCAGAGTGCAGGATATCTGAGCACAGCAGCGCACAGAGAGGCAGGCACATCCGCCGCTGGAGGGATCAAATCTGTACCATCTGACGCTCAAGGATTTATGGGTTTAGTCAAAATTGCTTTTCCCACTGTGGAGATTAAGCACCGTAGGATGTTTTCCACTCAGGCCGTAGTGTAGCTGCTGCTGCTGTTGCTGTGTTTCTCCCCTTTTATCGGCTCCGGCGCTGGAGAAGGGAATGTCTCAGGGAGGAAGAGTGCTCCAAACCCTGGAGGGGAGTAGATTCTGACTGACAGGAGAGGTCCGTCCTCTGGGGAATGTGAACCATGCAGGTGGATGCTGTTCTTGTGCTCTTCTGTGTTTGGCTCGTGGGTGCAGCTGGGAAAATGGCCCAGTCGAGGGGTCACAAGCTGGAGACCTACAAACAGAGCAGGTAATGTCAAAGGAGTCACAGATGTCAAGGACAAACACTGGAGTGCATGGGTTTTATTGTCTTAACAGGATACTTTAGATGAAGCTTTTAATACAAAATCTGCAAACATTTTTAAATGTTAAAGCCCTTTTACCGATGAGGGCGTCTTTTTTTTCTTCTTATAGATGTTTTATTTTGGGTTTACACGATGTTGTCCAGTGTTTCCTGTGTCACCTGTGCTCCTCCCTCCCCCCCTGAAAACAGACTTATTCAGACAGCAGATTGGAGAGTGGAGAGAGAGGGAGACCTAAATCCCCACATCTATTTATGTACTACTGGTGAATGCTGTGTTCTTTTGCCCCACAACTGCTACAGGCCAGTTAATGACTGTTTTCCCCAAAGGCAGCAGTTGTAGTCAATGTCATTTTCAGGTGATTATTTAGGCTAATTGCTCCCTTGTTAATGCATCCATTGGATTAGATGCTTTAGTTTAAGCATTTAGTCTCGCTTCCTCAGTTCTTATAGATTGAATTGGCTTGGACATTAGAGGTGATTTAAATAGAAAGATTCTCATTTGCATATTAGGATGTAAAAACTTTTAGCACTGCTGTCAAGTGCAAGGAGCAGTATATGGAGGGGCAATCTGGACATAGCTGTGGTGGAAGAAACGTGACATTTACAACTCAAAACAAGCAATTAGCATTTCAGTCATTTTTGACTCACTTGTAAAATGCTGATAGCTTGACTAAAACTCAAAACCAATCAATATTTTAATGATTCGGTTAAATTTGGGCCACATATTGAAGCATAAAAATGCTTCATAACTGTAGATTTGTAGATTGTAGATTTAAATAGATTTGTGAAAATGCTGTTAGATACTTAAATGATGAACTCTTAAGTACATAACAAAATTGTCAGATGAAATAATTCAGAATTATAATATTCAATAGTGGTTTAAATAGGGCTGCAACTAATTATTCTTTTGTTGATTAAATTAAAAACTTGCCTATCAGAAGTTCCCGGAGCCAATGGTGACATCTTAAAATACCTCGTTTTGTCCAACCAACAGTCCAAAACCCAAAGATATTCAGTTTACTATCATATGAGACAAACAAAGACGAATCTTCACATTTGAGAAGCTGCAACCAGTGAATGTTTTAGCCATTCTTGCTTAAAAATTACTTAGGAGATTAATTGGTTAACAAAGTATGTGCAGATTACTTCTTTGTTGATCAACTAATTGATAAATTGACCAGCTGTTTCAGCTGTAATAAGAATATTCATATTATCACAGCTGTTTGCATGAAGCAGTATGTGGAAGTGCAGCATGACTAGTGGTGTACTGAAAGAAATATGACTTTTACACTACAAAAGGCGAAATGAGTAACTTAGTCTTTAGACCACATATTAAAGCATAACATTTTTTAATGCAACTGTTTGATATCTTGAGTAGAAGTTGTGGCATCATCTAAATATATGATGTCAGGTATTTAAAGTGAGCGTTAATATACACAGCAAAATTGTTAGAATTCATTTTAATCTGGGAGTATAATAATCATAATATGCCAGCATGTTTATAAGCCTGTCACTTTCAGATGGCACATGTGGAGCACAATATGATATCTGAGAGCAGAGAAATAATACACCTGCAACTAATGATTATTTTTTATTAATCTGATGATCATTTTCTTGATGAATCAATTAATCATTTGGTCTATTAAATGTCGAAAAAATTATATAAGAAAAACAACAAACAACCAAAAAACCATTGCACCTTCCCATAGTCCAAGTACATTCAAATTACATGTTTTATCCACCCACAGTCCAAAACCACAAGAAGACAAAGAATGGCAGGAAATCATCCCATTTGGGAAGCTAAAAATTGGGAATGTTTGGCATTTCTGTTTGAAAAATGGCTCAGATTATTCATCTATAATCAAAGTAGTTGCTGATTAATTATGTCAATCTGGTAATTCATTAATCAAGAAACGGTTTCAGTTTATGAATGAAAAACTTGACTCAGCAATATCCAAAATTACACTGACATGTCTGCTGTTATTTGACTCATTACAAAAAATAGTAAGAACACTAGTTGTCAGAAAAAGTTTGAATGATTCATGTATATTTGACATTTTTTTCACTAGGCTATTCTCTTGTATGAATATCCGCACAGAGTTCAACTGTAGCCTGCGGCCCCTGAGTGAGAAACAGTTTTTGCATTAAACTCTGGTGAAGACGATAAGATTTTCCCAAGCAGGCAAAGTACAGCTGTGTACACCTCATAACGCTATCAGCATTGAATGATTTGCATCTACTTAATATATCCAACAACCCCTGTCAAATCATAATCCCCCCTGCCTTTAGATATAGTATCACTTTTCACGTTATAACTGCTGTTATTTATAGATCAGAGACGACGTCAAACCTCAGCCTGCTTGAAATTAAGACACTCATCCATTTGAGTAAAAGAAATGTGTTTGACATAACATACAGCTGCTTGTATACATCATGACAAACTGTCAGGATGCATGACATGGTGAGTCTGATCTCACTGAAGGCACGAGTGTGTGTTAAACAGTGCATGGTTAAAGCTGCCTTTTTAAATCTAAACAATCCTCCGTGAAATTACAGTCATTTAAAGTGATCATCTCTGCCCTAAGGTGATTAAGAAGATCATTAAGTGTAAGAGGAGCACTATCGTAATCATCTGTGGAAAATCTGGAGAAGACAAAGCACAAGTGGCTCAAAGCTGCACTGTAATCTCTAAACGCCACTGTTGACTTGTTATCAAATCTATGCTTCACTGTTTTTTTCCCTTCAACTAGTTAAAAGTCCTCTCACATCGTCTTCTCTTTGCTGACACACACAGTCTGTGAATACAAATCTCTGATTCCTCTTCTAGCAAGGGGGGCGGGGGGGCATCTCATGTTCTTATGTAGAAGTCAAACTCGTCTTCTCGCTGTTTCTCATCACTCCACTCCTCCTCCTCCTCCCTTGAGTGTGAAATTGCAAAAGCGGCTGGATGTTGCCATAGCGTGGGTTGTGGGAGTTTTCACTAAATTACTGAAAAATTTTTCACCCGCTGCCTTGAAGGAGGAAGAGCGGAGTTGGGGATTTGTGTGGGACAGCAGAGTCCCACACAAGGGAACATCTGAGGAGAAAACCCTCATGAGGTTTAGAAGATAATTTGGAGTGGTGGCTGGATAATTCTTTGGACAGAAAAACAACACATTTTGATGATAGGAACTATCACCCTCCTTATCTTCCCTCATTTCCCTCTTATATGTTTTGCTTTTTTTGACATTTCAGCAAACAATCTGTAAATCAAAGGAAATTTAAAACACTTCCATACATAGCCAAAATGTGGTTAGCTAGCTACATATTTAGTCAAAACCTAGTTAAACCCAGAACCTCTTGACATTTATTTTACTTTATACTTTTTTATGTAAAAGAAAACAGCATGCTAAATATACAAGTTATCACAAAACATGGCTATAAACCAAACCAAACAATCAACTACAGAGTCAAGTCAAGCTAGCTGGTGAGGTAGCCATGGCTAATTTTGACTAAAGCTAAATTGATCTCCTCTACCCCCATAACTGTTCCCTGTGGTTGAAATATATACATTTTGATTAACTAACATCTTGGTAATTCAGTTATCCCTAAGGCAGCAGCTAATCATGGAGAATAAAAACAGCTAAACTAAAAAAAAAAGTAACTAGCCTAGCTTAGCAGAGTAGCATTGGAAACTCAAATTCAGTTTAACACACTACTTAACTGTAAATCCTTTTTTTATATTAATTTCAAAGTAATTACTAATAAATGGACAATGGGGAGCAGAGAGAATCCATTTTGTTTGTTGACACAGTTTTTTTTTACCACATTAATTCTTGTGGTAAAATAAAGTCTAAAAATAAATTACATAGAATAACGACATTGCATCCTATCCATCTATTACAGTACACCCAGTGAGCCTGTAAACTTTAAACTCCTTTTTTCGCGACTTCAGTTTTGTCTGTAGTATACATTCGCCATTAATGTGTCCAGAATGACCTCTGCAGAAATCTGGCCATTTAACCCTGTGGCGATGCATGCATGCATGCAGGCCAGCCGCTGCAGAAAACAGCAGAAACAGCGTCAGGCCACACAGAGCAGAGCAGTGTGCAGACAGGCAGTCTGCTGTGTGGCGTAGGCAGGCAGAGAGGGGATTGGAGAGGCATTTCTGCCAAGAGGATTAGGAACCAGCTGCTGGACGGACACAGACAAGGAGCACCCATTGCCCATCACATCACTGCAGCTACAGTAGCACCCAGAGAAACCCTCTTCTTACTGTTTGATTTTGCTCTTGTTGTGTTTTTTTCTGTTTTGGTGCAGTCCCTTCATCTCTCCCTTTCTCTTTCTTCCTCAGTTGTATTTCCTTAATGCATGTTTGTGGTTGTCACAGGGATTTGGCGCTGTCTATCACAGCATGCTCTACTCTATTAATCCATTTTAGGGTTTTTGGTATTCATCTTTTTTTTCTTTTCTCTGTCTCTCGTGGCCTGAAATGGTGCCTAAAAGACAAGTACACAAAGGCAGGCCTCTTGAAAAGTGACACCAGAGAAGATCTGGCTTCATTCAAATTGGATGTGATTAGGAAATGCTCTTTTGCCCTTTGTGCGGTTTGTGGATGAAATGTGTGTGATGTAACTACATGTATTACATCTCTGCCATAGAGAGCATCAAGACAAAAGTTATTATTGCCTCTTAACACTATGTAGATTTAAGCTTTAAAATGACATGTGTAACATTATTTGTTCAAATTAAAGCTACAACAAATTATTATTTTCATTATTGATTAATCAGAAAATAATTTTTTTCAATTGATTTATTAACAGAGTAATGAAAAATGTTTATAATTTCACAGAGCCTGAGGTGACATATTGAAAATAGCTTGTTTTGTGTGTCCAACAGCCCAGAACCCAAATATATTTAGTTTATCATCATATATGACAAAAAAGAAAGAAAATTTTCAAGAAGCTACAACCAACAAATACTCTTTATTAACACTGACAAGAGCAACACATTTCGCTCAACACTTTATCAGGCTGATGAAAATGTGGCGGTGTAGTGTTTGACCACATCAGATAATCAATATACACACAAGTACATGCAAGAAATAATTAAAGAAGATGAAAACAAACAAACAAACAAACAAAAGAAAAAGAACAAAAAAAATGGAAATGGAAAATAAAAATGTCAATCATCTATAGACTATAAAATGAAAGAAATAAAAGATGAAAATAACATGCCAATCAAAAAACACTTGTAGAAAGAAGCTAAAATACACAGCATGATTTACTTTTTTTTCAAAAAGAATATGTTGCGTTGTAGAAGTAAAACAGCACAAAAAGTAAAGTCTCAGCTTTTTGTACAATGTTCTGCTGCTGCCATATGTGACGGATGTTCTTATTTATTTATTTATCTATCGCTGCTCTTAATTAACAGGTTGCGAAGAGAGACCAGAATGGATGGAGGTGGAGGTCACAAATCTGGAAGGTACGCCTTAAAACTCTTAGATTGACAGATTTTCAAACTAATATAGAGTCATTTCCTAATTAAAAACTAATATATCCCTGAGGGCTCATTGTGACCACGTGTCCTTCTTTTGTGTTTTACAGCCCGATTTACAAACGAAGCCCAGACATGACAAAATCACCGATGACGAAATCTGAGCAGCTCCTGAGAATAGATGACCACGATTTCACCATGAGACCAGCATTCGGAGGTCAGAAAATCAGATTTGAGTAATTGAAGTGAAAGCGTTTTCTTTCATTAACAAATCTGCAGCTCAGACACGCTGGACAAACGATTTCATTGGAGGCTGCATGGTCAGTCATCAAGTGCAGCGGGATGAGATTTGTTCTGTGGTCATTGGTTTGGACCAAACTGTCCTATAGGCTTTAAGCTCTTGACCTTGGTGACACCATCCATGCAAGCTGTGCTGGAGTTTCCAATTGCAGCTCAGTTCTTTACATCACAAGTGTTGATACATGTCTTTTGCATCGCTGTATATTAGAGGGATGTGATGTCAGCTTTTTGAAATCAAATCTGAAGGATTACACTGAGATAAAGACACGAAAGCTTTTGTTTTTACTAGAAGATCATAATGGAATATAATCTTTTTAGCTGTCTTTATCTTTTTATTTGTCTTTTGGGGCAAATAACCACATATACAAGAATGGTATTTAACCCCCAAAAAAATCAATGCAGTGACAGAGACACGTGCTGTTTTTATCAGATGACTACTTTTAATCGCACGACAATCTGCTGCTGAAAACACACCAAGTGACCCTTCGTCTAGTTTCGACCATCAAGTGCGTCTCAGTTGGAAGTGGAAAAGAGAGCTGGATTTCATCCACCGCTGCATCAACTTTGATCCATTATTGTGACCTAATTGTGTTTGTGTACTATTGGAGGATGATGATGCAGAGTAAAAAGGCTGAAATAGGTCAAAAGTAGAGTCCCAGCCAGACCGACACAGTCATGGCATAAGGGGTTGCTCTATATTTGTGTGATTCAATGTTGTTTTTGGAAACGTGATTTCCAAAACAAGACAATGAAAAAGTCTCTGTAAGGGTCATGCTGACTTTTTACCCACTCTTACATTCGTAATGAAGCAGAAAACACACATTCATGCAGCTTCTATGGAGAAAAATAACATTTCTGCATTTGCTGACATGAGTCAATTTTCATTTCAGGCCCTCCAATTCCTGTTGGAGTAGATGTTCAGGTTGAAAGTCTGGATACCATCTCTGAAGTAGATATGGTAAGTATGACACAGCTTTTTGGTATACTTTTCAAAATCATGGATTGCAGGTTACAGGATACAGCAGTGTTTACTCAAGTACAATTTTGAGGTATTTTACTTAAATATTCCCATTTTCTGCTATTCTACTCCACTCCATTGATTTATCAGCAATAGTTACTAAGATTTGAAAGATTTTACATTAAAATGCATATGATGAGATTATAAACTACAATGTATTATCAAAGACTAAACCAGTAGTTCCTAATCAGTTTCACCAAAGAGACACTGCTCCTCCAAACGTCCCAGATGTTTGAGCCCTTAAGAGGTCAGATTATTCAACAATGAACAAAAACAGAAGAAGTCTGAAAAATGAATTCAAATGTGTATGACATAACTTTGTTTTGTCTACTTTGCTACTTCATCTATCACCTCATGACCCTTCAGATATATTTTGTGATTCTTTGGAGGAGGCCTGACCCCAAGCTTTGGAACTATTGGACTAAACTACCTACTAAACTGGAGCAGCCACAGGAGGAAAACGCTGCTTACACATGCATCAGTATTAACAATCTGTAATGTCATATACTATGTCAGTCAGAGAGAACATTTCACTGCACAACCACCACTTTTACTTTGATACTTAGTGGATGACACATTCGTACTTTTACCTACTTTTAAGTAGGATTTTGAATGCAGGACTTTTGCTTGTTATTGAGTATTTTTAGATTGTTGTACCGGCCCTTTTACTTTAAAAAAGTATTTGAGTATTTCCTCCACCACTGTTCAGCACTCCAGTGTTTTTCCTTCCTGTAGGACTTCACTATGACACTGTACCTGCGTCACTACTGGAAGGATGAGCGGCTAGCGTTCCCGAGCACCAACAACCAAAGCATGACCTTTGACAGTCGCCTGGTGAAGAAGATCTGGGTTCCTGACATGTTCTTCGTCCACTCCAAGCGCTCTTTCATCCACGACACCACCACTGATAACGTCATGCTGAGGGTTTATCCTGATGGCAACGTCCTCTACAGTCTCAGGTAGACCCAACGCCTTTCTTATAATAGTGAAAAAATGACAAGCCGTTTATATATTTGGAAGAAAAAAGAAATAAATTTAAGACAATATTATTGGTCATTTTCCTCTGCTATAAAAAATAATGGAAAACATCACAATAAGAAATCTTTTTCCAACAGAGAAATAAAAAAATTCAGCACGTCCAGAATCAAAAGCACACCACATGAAAAACTCACCACTGATTTGCTTTGATGAATCTCACAGCAGGTGAAAGGTCCAGCAGCATTCTGTGGAACAACATGATCATTGTAATCAGTGTTGCATACAATTGTGACAGCCCTGGGTTAATCATTCATTGTAGGGTCCTTTGAACCTGAGTTTAATCAGGAAAGTAATTTATATTCACATAGCATAACATAAGGCCATCTGATTAAGAATTGGGGATAACAAGAGGGATAGTGGATAAAAATTACACAACACTGCAGAGAGATAATACAAAGAGGAAAATGAAAACACATTCAACACTGCTCTGAAAAAAGAGAATAGCACAATCAGAAGTTTAACAGACTTAACAGACGCACGTCTCACTATCAAGCACAAACTAGACAGCCTGAGTCTCTATTCCTTCTATTTTTTTTGCCAGACTATTTACCGCACATACATTTGCGAATTTAACCTCCATCTTCTCTGTTTCTTTAGAAGTTAAATTACAGTGTTTTTGTTTGTGTCACACAATTTTGTCCCCGCAGAGTCACTGTCACTGCAATGTGCAACATGGACCTTAGCCGCTTCCCTCTGGACACCCAAACCTGCTCGCTGGAGATTGAGAGCTGTGAGTGGATTGATCAAAATATGGACAAATATGTCAGCAAGACACATCTTTCTTTTTTTTTCTCCATTTGAACATGCTGCTTCTACCATCCATCCATCCATCCATCTGTCCAGAGCATCTTAAAGATTTATGTCTGGATTTGAAATCTGCTTTCACATTCACGGTTCTCTCAGAGTATGGTTTTTCTTTTTTCTTTTATGCTTTCTTCTAATACCACCAACATTTCACTCATACGCAAGAAATATCAATATGAGTTGTGCAATGACATTTACTGAACACATTCATAAACACTTTTCCATTTTAGACACAACATAAGCTTTCCTCTTGTGTCCTCAAATTTGCTTCCCAGATATCTCATTAAAATCTGAGATATATCATACCATGAAAGATTTTGAGCACATTCATGCTTCAAAGAGAATAAATAGCTTTAATTTTAATGACCCTTTCCTCTTGCACCAACTCCTCATAGTGTGCAATGAATACTGCAGTCTCTAGGGACTGCTAGTGGTGCTCTAGACTGGTAGTCTTAGTCATGTTTTATCTTTTTCTGTTGGACATTTTGTTCGTATTATCATCCAGCATTGTCCTGACTAAATCTGCCCTGATTTGGTTTGTCACAGATCTTCTTACTTCTACATATTTTCCCACCAGATGCCTACACAGATGATGACCTGATGTTGTACTGGAAGAAAGGGAACGAGTCCCTGAACACTGACGATAGAATATCTCTGTCCCAGTTCCTCATCCAGAAATTTCACACCACCACCAAACTGGCTTTCTACAGTAGCACAGGTAATGTAATCCACAACTCTGGCACTTCTAATACAGTGATTATGCAAATGGCTCATATGTGTTTACCATGCGTGTAAGAACTAGATCACAATTGAATTACAAGTTCAATGAATTTCATTTTACTTTATAAGCCTTTTCCAACTAAAGGATTGAGTTTTCCTTACATGAAATTGATGTCCCTTGAATGTCACACCAAGAAGAATGTCCTAATATTTAATCCTTACTGTGAAATGAAATGAATCAAGCTATTGCCAACCACTTGTACTCGTCTGGAAAGCCACTGTAAAAGCCCTGCAGCTTTCTCCTAACCAAACGTCACTTCGCTCACAAGAGCAACCTGAAGCATGAAAAGGATTTGGTGTCCTATCTTTCTCCACCAGACTAGCAGGGAACCTCCGCTGCAAGTGTTTGTACTGTGTATCAGCAGCCAACATATGACAATGTGTGTGCAATGGTGATATTTCTTCTTCCTAGGATGGTACAATCGTTTGTACATCCACTTCACCCTGCGGCGCCACATTTTCTTCTTCCTGCTGCAAACCTACTTCCCGGCCACTCTGATGGTCATGCTGTCCTGGGTGTCCTTTTGGATTGATCGTAGGGCCGTACCCGCCAGGGTGCCCTTAGGTATGGCAGATTGTACCTCTCAGAGTGTGGACTTTACAAAGAAGCGCTACTAAAAGGATTATCTAGTTTGAGAAATGTTGGCTTGTTCCAAAAGGGAGGGAAGCAAGGAAACATAGTGCATTGTAGAGCAGTAATATTGGTTGTATAGAACATAAGATGTGAGAAATGTGATAGGTGATTTCCCATCCCAGGTTGCATCATTCAAAAACATATTTTAAAAAAGACTGAAGAGGTAAATGAATGCAAGATTTAACTAGAATAAAGCAAAGTTAGTTGAGCAGTACGTTAATGTCTACCATGCTACCATCCTAGATTAGCTTATTACCATGCTAACATTTGCTAATTTGCACTCAACAAAGTACCGCTAAAGCGGATGTGAATGTCATTATTGAAGGTACACATTGGATTTTTGTCCTAATTATGACATGATAGAAGGTTTAGGATCCACATCAATGTTTGTACCAGATTTCAAGACAATCCATCCAATAGTTGTTGACATTTCACTCAAAACCACAAAGGTGAACCTCATGGTGGCGGATCACCAAAGTCATTAGGTTTCATGTCTGTACAAAATTGTATGGCAATCCATGCACTGGTCCAAAGTTGAAGACGGACGGACGGACGGACGGACGGACGGACGGACGGACGGACGGACGGACAGACAGACAGACAGACAGACAGACAGACAGACAGACAGACAGACAGACAGACAGACAGACAATACAGCAGTGCCATCCCCAAAGCCATGCTGCTAGCTCCCACAAACCTGTGGAGGAGGGACTGTCATTAGAGAACTTCCCAACAGTGATCAATAAAATAGAATAAAATGAGAATAAAACATATGCATTAAAATTAATTACTACTATTTAAATAAAAATAAGAAGAACTAGGGTCATATGTGCACCCCTCTCTGTGCTATTTAGCGTTTGGTTTTATCCAGTAAATTAAAAAATCTTTGCTGTGACTAAACTGTTTGCATGCACCCCTCCAGGCATCACCACAGTGCTGACCATGTCCACCATCATCACCGGGGTCAACGCCTCCATGCCGCGGGTCTCTTACATTAAGGCAGTGGACATTTACCTCTGGGTCAGTTTTGTTTTTGTCTTCCTGTCGGTGATAGAGTACGCGGCGGTCAACTACCTGTCCACTGTACAGGAGAGGAAAGAGAGGAAGCTGAGGGAGAGAGTAAGTGTGATTTCTCTCTGTGGCTGAACAGTTAACGTATGAAATGTTGATGTCTTTTTGATTCACCATGACAAATTAGAGTGGTTGCTCTCTACATGGCCACTTTAAACCAAAGCAGTGTAATGATTAATTACAGTAATTCATAAAAGCCAGATGTGATTATTTGCTTTTTTTGGACATTAATCTTATGACCTGGATATAAAAAAAACAAACAAAATACTTCAAGGTGATAGTTTTGATTTCCCGATGTGTAAGTGAACGTAGCACTGTCAAGCTTAATTCATGGCCAAAATGTTCCATAGGTAAAGGACAAAAACTACGCAATGTTTAGTTCTGTTTTGGCCTTTTTAACAGTAAATAGAGCATCATTCATACTAAGAAATGAGGTCACATATCTGTTCAGTAAAAGATCTGAATGTGTGGCCAAAATATTCCCGTTTTACTTTTAGTTTTATAAGTAAAAATAAGGAAGCAAGTATTGCCCTGATGTTTTGCATGAATGATTAACGAAAAACAGTTGTTCGTCCTGATTTCGACCAGCACCTCGTAGACGTGGAGCTCTGCAGAATACATTAGTAAGTTCTAATTGTTGTAGTTTAAAAGACTGACACAAATATTTACATGGATTCATATTTACCATACAGCTTGTGGTTTTAAAACTCTTTGTGGGCTGATTTTAATTTGCTGAATGTGACACAGTCTGCTTTAGTGGATAATAAGGAGACACCCAAATGAAGTTGAAACAGAAGAATTGACAGCTCTCTCCAATTCACACAACAAAGACAAGACATGAAGAATGACCTCATTCAATATTAAAATATTTTACCCATTAAAATATTTCTAAACTGGGAGAAACGTTAATAAATAATGTATGTGCATTTCCCATAAACAGATAAATATTTTCTAAATTGGTTCAGTTAAAGCTGCTTGCGGCACTATGGCAAATTATTTCTGGGACTCCAGCTTGTGTACTATATTACTATTCTTCATCTGCCAAATGCTGCAGCATATGGAGCCAAATTGCCCACGTACCCCGAGGAAAATCCCCTGCACAAACATCCTTTTATAAATGTTTCATTCCAAACTTATTTAAAGACCTGAGTATGAGGATAAAAAATGATAAACATTTGACAAACTAATGGATTTATACGCTCTTTTTAGTTTGTTTACGACTCTACGGAAAGTAGCGTCCATCGTAAGCAGTTTGAGGAGTGTCAAATTGTGTTGTCTTTTTACCCCTCTAGCTGCCGTGTACCTGTGGCATCGGCAACCCAGACGAGATGATGATCGACCCCCAGATCACTGGCTATGGGTCTATGGATGTCAACACCACAGGGAATTATGGGATGCCTGAGAACGGCGGCCGCCAGGAACGAATCTTAGCGCAGGTTGCATTGAATGACCCGCAAATAGCAAGCCAGGTGAAGCCGTCCAGAGGCTATGTGAACATTTGGATAGACACCCACGCCATAGACAAGTACTCGAGGGTTGTCTTTCCTGGTGCGTACATCCTCTTTAACATCATCTACTGGTCCATCTACTCATAACACGGGATGCAGAAGTGCAACCAGTAACTGTGGCCGTCGTCCATGACGGGACTCCAGGAGCTCAGCCCATTTTGTACAAGAGCAGGAGAGGTGACAGTTTTCAGACAGAGGAACTGCTCATAAGATGCATGGAGACCATTGACAGACTGGTGACCATTGCCTTCTTGACCCAGCCACTTAAAACTGAGGTACTGACAAACGGGACAGTCGTCGTCACTGGTTTTGTCAATCCACCAAATCTATGTGGTTTTATGTTGTGACTGTACTGCTGTTGACGGAAAGTCGTTTGGATATTGTTGCCGCCTGAGGACCTACCGCATACTCAGATAATAGTGCAGTTTAACTCAGCTATGTTTCAACTCTTGATGCAGTAACTGACCACACAACAGCTACCCTGGCTTTGTCTAGCACCTTTAAAGCACACAGTTTTACTAGTAATATCTGTGTAAAAGCAAAAATTTAGCCATTTTGCAGATGGTCATGTGCCGGACTATTCCTTTGCTGGGACCAGTAACTTCCTGGAGTCTCGGCTGTTACTGCTCCAGGACATAACGTCCTGTAAAATGACAAATTGATGTTTTTACACCTCAGTTTTTATATGGATTATCAAATGAGATATAACACATTAATAAGTGAGCTGTAGAAGTGCTGGTTGGCAGATTTTGTAACTGTTAAACAGAGCCAGGCTAGCTGTTTCTCCATTTCCTGTTTTTGTGCTAAGCTAAGCTAATCAGCTCCTGGCTGTAGCTTCATATGTAGTCTTCAGATATGAGAGTGATATCAGTCCTCTCGTCATCGCAAAAGAATGCGTATAGGTGTGATTTTTCAAAATGTGGAACTATTTCTTTACCGGATGATCAGATTTTTCTTATTCTTAAAGTTCAATTCTTCTTTTGCAGCACGTTAGTATGATTCATTATATGTAAAAAATTTTGTGATCTTTGTATGAGTGCAGTTATGCATTGCATTAGTGTAATTTGACACAGTTTAGGAAAAAAGCAAAACAATGCAGTCTATTAAAATCACAAATGTAAAACTATATGTTTAGTAAATCCCAAATATTGATAATAATATTGAGTTTTATTTTTTAAATGTCCTTATTTCTTCTTTTCTTTCTTTTTTTTTTTATACAACGGAAGCTCATCTCCTCTGTCTGGTGTTGTGAGGCTTTGAGGTTCACTGTGACCTGTTAGTTGCTAGTTTTATTGTCTTTTTCAGCTTAAGACAACTTTATACTTTGTTAAGCAAAAGATATTAAGAACATCTTTCGGTGGTTCATAAAAAAAAATGTATTAACCAAAAATACAGATATAAAATTTTACTCTTGAAAGATGATACATGTGCGAAAATGTTTAATAAATGTTTTGTTTTCTGAAAATGTGAACATTATTTGAGCAGAGTTTAGGTGCTGGACAACAAAAACACAATACTGTACATTTTAAATCTCCTCCATGTAATTTATTGATTTTGTGCAAATAGAAATTGATTGAGATGCATGGCTGAAAATGCCTCTTTTTCCATATACGTCAATTAAAATCAACTTAAAACAAACAAAAACAGAAAAATTTGTGATAACAAATTTTGTGTCAGTTGAATCACATGGTAACATTTTACTGGTGCAACTCCTCAAGTCTTGGTCCCCAAGAAAATCCTATTTTCCTGCTCTCCTATACAGCATATTTAAACTGTGCCGGAGGATAAGCTTTCACAGGTATTAGACATTGGATTCCTACCAGCTCCAGGGTTTCTCTTCCCTCTCTGGCACAGGTCTGATTGCTGATGAGCATTCATACCAAATCACATAAACTGGATCTTCTGTAATAACATTAACTGCTCCTGTCACTTAAATTATATATATATATATATATATATAAAATATGTTAAAAGATGCAGAAGTCAAAGCAATACCACTTCTGATTGGTTCACCTTTATCATCATCAATAAAATCACTCCAAGTCAAAAAATCTAAAAACAAGACAAAGAGTCTGTTGCTTGCACTTTGGCACAGTGGTGCTTTGAGCTAACTAAATGCTAACTGAGCTTAGTGTGTTAGCATGCTAACATTTGCTACTCCCACCAAATGTGAACTACAGCTGAAGCTGATGTGAATCTGATTAGTTTCACGGTATTTAGTTAGAAACCGAAATACTGGACAAAAGATGATAGCGCTACAGTAAAAGTTAAGAGATCACCAAACTTATTACATTTCTGCCTCTGGAGAACATGAGCGTCTAACCCAAATTTCATGACAATCTATCCAATAGTTGTTGAGAAAGTTTCAGTAAATAGCCACCTAATGATGGCGCTAGATGAAAAATAAGAGAGTGTCAAAAGTCATTAGAATTTATCCTCTGGGGATCATGAATCTACCAAATTCTGTGGCAATCCATTCAGTATGTTGAAATATTTCACAGGATAAGTGAAAACAAAACTGAGGATCTTCAAACTCAGTAGTTTTGATCCTCTTGGGACCACAAATATCTGCACAAAATATCATCTCAATGCATCCAATAGCTGTTCAAATATTTAATAAGCTAAACAAGCTCTCAGACTGACACTGCCACCCCCTGAACTGTGCCGTGAGCACTGATGAAAATGGCCTAAAATTGCAACGAGGATATAAGCCATAGCTTTACCTTCTTTTAAAAAAAAATTGTGGCTGCTGCCTGTTATATTAATGTGAAAGCGTTACTTATTCCAGTCTCTCTCACTCCATTAAGGTGGTCTTTGAGATACTCAGGTCTCTGTTGTTAGTTTTACAGCTTTCCACAACCTTTCCACAACCTCAGACACCTTCGTCTGTCCGGAATTCGTGTTATTTTTCTTATTATTATTAAATTTATCATTAAAATTGGTGTATTTATGGAGCTGTCAAAGTTGCATCGCTGGCTTCTAGTCATTTCTCCTGTTTTTGTTTTGCCAGGCTGAAGTCCTCTCTCACTTGCCTGAGCAGATCAGGGCAGCACACGACATCCACAGCTGTCATAGCCAGGGTTTTGGCTATCCTCAGGGTGAACAACTGGGCCTTTTCAGCTCCTGGTGCAGGAAAAAGAGTGGAGGAGGAAAATAAAGCATCAAATAAATAGAAACTAAACAGGAAGACCAAGTGACCTGGGAAAAGATGGCTGAAAAAAATTGTCTGATCTTAGTGCAATTCAATTCCGTTACAAGAAACAACATCTGTTCCCAATAGACACGTGCTGCCATACCTGCTGCGTCGGTGTATTCCTCAGTGTGGTTAAACGCATCGGTGCAGATGTAGAAGAAAGGATGAATCCCAGGAACTATGAATGATACGTTGCCAAAGTCTGTGGAACCTGCCAGATAATTATAAATTCACTGTGATAATGAGTCTGTGTTGATCCACTGAACAACAAAAACATCACACTTCTACACTTCTTATGTTTTATACATTTTTCTGCACTTTCAGCATTTTTCTGTGTGTGTGTGTGTGTGTGTGTGTGTGTGTGTGTGTGTGTGTGTGTGTGTGTGTGTGTGTTTTTTACCTACCAGAGAAGTTGGCTGGCTGCTCTGGAAACTCAATCCCCAAAGCTTTTCCATTATGTTCGTACAGGTTTGCCAGTGCAGCATTAGGCAGAATGTTATAGTAGGCATGGGATGGGTAGGTTATCTCCACCTCAAGGAAACAGAAGTTAATTCTAATTCATAAAACGCAGTGTACAAAGATGTAAGATCACAACACAGTAAAATATTACCATCATATATTAACAATATATGAATCTGTGCACACTTCGCAGTTTGAGTTAAACCTGCCTGAAGCAAGTGCAGATGGAGAAGAAAAGCAGCCTGAAGATAACGGTGAATTATGTAACAGCAGCACAGCACTCAGAGCATAATTACAGGAATATGTTAAAAGGGACAATCTTATATAACAGAATTGCATTTCTCCACTATATGACCATACACTGTTTGTTCCTGTGTCTTTACTTGATTGTTAATCTACATAAGCAGGGATGCAATGTGTACCCAGCACAGAGGGAAGCAAATGGAAGACAATATATTTATGTAAGCTTACTTGGCAACCAGTGGCCACAGCGGCTGCCCTAAAGCAAGCCTCTGCTTTGGCCTTGAGGTCACAAAGATCCTTAACCAGCGGTGTGCGCAGATAAAACTGTAATTCAGTGTAGGCGGGGATAATGTTGGGCTTCACTCCTCCATGTTTGATGATGCCTGTAGTGAAGACAATGTGGACAATGAGCAAGGATGAGAAGGAATGAATCCATACCTCTGTATAGTTACACAATTCATACGGGTTTCAATGTCGATCTACATTTCAAAGTGCATATGTTACAGATACATTTACTCAGATACCTTATAATTCTTATTCCTGTTGAATTAATGTAACTGTTAGTGTATAACTTCACCATAATAAATAAAGACAATATCTTCTGTGAGCACAAATTTCTACCAGTGTGAGCCTCAGTGCACGAATGACCATGTATACAAAATAAAATATCACAACAATCTTTAAAGAAAATTTTGAAAACACAGTGAACTCAATAAACTCACAGTAATCTCAGTAAACTTCCATCTATGATATCTTGGGGCGTTTTACACATTGATTAGACAGATGACAGAAAATGAGGTGAGGGAGAGGGAGAGGGAGAGAGAGAGAGGGGGGGAGAGAGAGAGAGAGAGAGAGAGGGGGGGGGGGGGGGGAGATAGGGAATTACATTCAACAAATGTTCACAGCTGGACAACTGACAGCTTGAACCAGGGACATGGTCATCTAAATTAACAGTGTCCTGCTCTTGAGAGGATTTGTGTGATGTGTTTTGAGCCTGATGGCATCTTTAGCAACGACTAACGACTGACAATTAGACCTGTAACTAACTGTTGTTTTCATTACCGATTAATCTGCTGATTATTCTCCCCATTAACCAATTAGTCATTTACTCAATGACATGTTACAATAGTGCTACAGTGTTACATGTCACAAAAAAAAAAAGGCGTTCACAATTTCTCACAACTCATGGTGACGCCTTAAATTTCTTGTTTTGTCCCACAAACAGTCCAGAACCTTAAGATATATTCAATCTACTGTCATATATAACAGAGAAAAGTGGCAAATTCCCTCATGTGAGAACCTGGAACCCAGAGAAGTCGGTATTTCTGCTTGAAAAAAGAATGAAACAATCAACCGATTATTAAAATTGTTGCAGATAAATATTCTGTCCATTGATTAATCAATGAATCAACTAATAATTGCAACTCTAGTGACAGTTAGTACAAAATGCTTAAAAGGTAAATGGACTGTTATGTCAGCTGCTGCGTCCGAGGTCAAGAATAAACTCTGAAGCTCTAACTAATTCTGTCACAGTTCCTCTCTGTTCCTCACCGTGAAGCCTCCACTCTGGTTTCAGCTGCTGTCTGAGCACGGAGATATTGTTGTAGGCCAGAACAGCAGCATCCAGGGCGTTCACCCCCTCCCACGGGTACGCAGAAGCATGGGATGCCTTCCCGAGGTACTTCACTGACACCCTGTGAAACATCGACACAGAGGTTTAAGGTTTGTCTGCAATATGTAGAGGTCAGGGGGTTTATCAACAGGGAGTAAATACACAGAGAATAATAATGAGCAGTGAAACGGAACATACTCATCGAGTGCAACACAGGGCAGGAATGGAGCGTCCTGCTGAGCCGGATGAGCCATGAAGACGAGGTCGACGTCAGCAAAGGCCCCCTCCTTGATCAGGTCGATCTTTCCTCCTATAGCCTCCTCTGCAGGAGTTCCCAGAACAGTTATCTGATATAAAGTGTTTAATTCAGTCATCTGGCATAAATGTCACCTCATGTGTGTCAGTCATTCCAGCTATTCCTGTAGGTCAAAGTTCATTCAAAAAAATACCAATGAAGAACTGTGATTTGTGACCGCAAATAGCCTACATCTGTAATTATGAGACAATGGCTCCCTGGACACAGACATGTAAGAGGCCTCCAATTATTTTTCACACAGGAGCAAGACCCAGAAAAAAGACCCTGTCTTTGGCATGGATCTGTACTTGAGTTGTGTTTTTGGTCTCTTTGTAGCTGTTTTGTGTTTCTTTGTGGTTGTTTTCCATCTCTTTGTGGACGTGGTGAGACTCGTGATCATTTAACATCAACTGTTTGTGGCCATTTTCCATCTCCTTGTGTTTGTGTTGCCTCTCTTTGTGGTACCAGGCCTGACCTATATCGTTTTATAGCTATTGGTTGAAGTCACATGTCACATCTTGTGTAGATTAATTAGCCTAGCCTTATGTTTTAAGGATTTATGGACATTTTATTTATCATTTCACGTGTTGGTGAGTTTCAACGTTTGGCTCCGGACTGTTCTTGAAATACCCCTATAGTTCTCTAAAGTTACCTTTACTGGGACAGGTAGTTCAGTCTGGTTTTCTAAGGCAGCTCTCAGCCCCACAGCGGCCGCAGCTCCCACCTCCGCTATCAGGTTGTGCCCGCAGGCGTGTCCGATACCTGGGAGCGCGTCGTACTCGCACAGGAACGCCACGTTCAGCACGGGGTCACCCTCCCTGCCACCTACCGGACCCCAGCTGGCCCTGAATGCGGTCGGCAGCTTGTAGTGACTTTGGACCGTCCATGTCTGGTCCTCCTGAGAGAAGAAGTGGACCAGCCTGTCGTGCGCATATGTCTCGTCACCGGCGAGTTCAGGGCGGCTCCAAATGTCCCGACTCAAGCTGTACAGCTCGTCTTTGCACCTGTCTATGCCCAGCTGGAGGGTCTCTTTCATCTGCTGTTGTTTGTCCATGTGGCCCGACTGTCTGTTCAACACAACACACTGTCTGTAGACCGAGCTAGAGTCCAGATAGCACAGGAAGCAGTAACCCTACATTATTCTGTTTCACATTAAAGTTTCATTTGGTTCACCCTGCCTGTGACTTTGGTTTTGTGCGAACCGCTGTCAAAGTGAATTTGCTCTCCTTCATAAATTTAGCGCCGTTCAGAAAGTGTGGAGGGGTCGGGGTGGGAGATACTGGTCTCACACCGGAAGTAGTTTGAATTGTCACTGGAGTTTTTCTTTTTTTTTTTCGTTTGTGAAAAATAAATAATGAAAAAGAAGCAATGGGTAAAAACAAAACAAAACAAAACAAACAAACAAACATAAAAAAAATAGCTATTTATTTTGCCCTCTGGGTTTAGGGAAATGGTTTCATCTTTGAAATTAAGGTTTTGTAACAACACCTGTTATAATTTTGGCCTAGTCAACATTTTGAAAAGGAACGACTTGTAACTAAGCTAAAATGCTCTTATTCGTTTTTATTTGAATAGACAACAGGTAATGAATAGAAGAAGAAGAAGAGGAAAAATAAAAAATAAAAAAGAAGAAGAAGAAGAACAATGTGCTCCTGGTTCTATTTTTGTTTAACTAGGGTGGATCCTATAGTTGCAGATACACTGTATGAGATTGTTGCTGCAATACTTATTTCTTTACATTTTATGAAAATACAGAACATATGGTAGCCTCTATTTCTGTGAAACTAAAACAAAAAAATCACTGCACTCTTCCTGTTTACAGTCAATTGCGGTGGAAATATTGCAAAAGAGTAAGTTCCTCTCTTTTGTTAAGCACCAGGCACTGAATGAGTCACTTTGAAGCAAGACAAGTATCGCCATCTGCTGGCCAGGATTACACTCTGCCCGCGTGCTTAAATGTTAAACTGACAAATAACATAACTACATGGCTTCCATCGAACTGTACCTAAATATTTGATTTGATACGGGAACATTGGATTTTGAATTATGGGAGAAAAATAAACAAAATATTATACATACAAACTAATTGCCATTCAATTATACTTCAAAAGTCCAGAAATATAATCTTAACATACACCAGTTCACATTTTGCATGTGAGTGATGTGCATCAATGAAAACCATGCTGCTTCATTGTTATTCTCTTTATCAAGATAAATCACAGGCCTCCTATCTACACAGGCCTATGTGATGTGCTGTAATAAATATTGTTACCACACTAGAGGGACCCAGAGTGACATACTTTGCTAAAAGGCTCCTTTCGCACATGGTTCTGAATTATTTTCTTTTGCAGTGAAAATAAATCAACTTTTCATCTTTTACCTTGAACAGTTTAAAAGACCGACCAGAAAAACTCTTTTGAGAGCAAACCTTTCAAATATTTATCTAAAAGGAATTTTTTTCTTATTGCCTGTAGCTACTCAGATGACTGTACACATGCAGCAGGCAAACAATGCTTTTCATTGCTGAGGATGAACTAGGATCTGGCCCTGAAAAACAAGGTCAATTAGCACTGAATGAATAAAGACAAAGCTCCACAGCTGTCACATGCCCAGTCAGTGTGTGTGTGTGAGAGTGAGTGAGAGAGAGCAGGTGTACATGTACGTGTATTCTGTCTGTATTTGAGTTGGAGGTTAATTGGGGGCGGTTGTCACAGGAACAGAACAGCGCTCAGCAAGCTGACACCAAGACTGCCTCCTGACATGGCCTGTCTGTCAGCTTACTTTACGCCCCACCAGTGATGCTGACACTCTCCACTGTGTATCAATTAAGTGACATCGAAGGGAGGCGGCCATGTGTCACTCCATTGTCTTACTAGGAGAATTGGCTTGCAAGCATGTGCATAATTTCACATGATTACACATGCTTTTGACATCACATGTTGGCCTGTGCTTCCAAAAATCAACAATCTGCGATTTCTATGTGTAAATGTGGTTTAAGATTGTTATCATTTATTCCCAGGTGATAATTTCAAATCATCACACAGATGAAATAGAGGTGCTCAGCTTCAGAAGAGAAAGAAAACCGCTGGAGACAAATGTAAAAGTGAATATATTATATTATATACATATTCTGAGTACATGATACATACGTTAACAAATATTTCAAGCAGCTTAGATTGATATTTTAGTTCGAGCCATGAGTTAAGATATATGCATGCATGCAGGCGTCACAACAGCAGGATGCCCCAAAGGAAGCCTGGCTTGACAGCTACAATGAATGGATGTGCCACTGATAACAGCATGTTTCTGAAATGGGAGATGAAACAAAAAACAGACTACGCCTGTGTGTGTGTGTTTGTGTGTGTGTGTTTGTGTGTGTGTGTCTTTGTGTATTTGTGGTCAATGCAAGAATATGGTCCACATATTAATGTTTTTGTGTTTTGTGCCTCCACAAATATGGAAGATTTGCCAGTAAAAAATAGACACGATGTAAATAAAAATGTTGAATCTAAAATTTTGACACAGGTTTTCAGCACAGTAAGTGAGCAGGTGCACCAGTGGCACTGTGGCTTTCGTAGTTCCTCCACCCTCCTCTCTGACTTTCCAATGTAAATGTTCTGTAGTCCCTAAAAAGATGAAGTGATTGCCACTATAACGTCGATAAAGACTCAAAAACTCAAAAATTTGACCCAAAGAAGTACATTTCTTTAATTGGCAGCCAATTTAAATCATAATGTTTGAATTTACATATGAGTTCATTTAATGTTGAAAACAACACATATACACTACTCACCAGTCACTCGCGGACAGTTTGAGAAACATTAAATTTAAAACAGGATATTTGAACAAATTTACTCATGGACCCCAGTAAAATATGTGAGCTGTAGCATTGCAGTAAATTTGTCAAACCATTTAAAACAAAGCAGCATCTCCTTGCAACCTGATATCACTGGTTGCATTCTTTACCAGAAATCAAACAGTAAACACTAGTGGAAAGTCTTAAAGAATAAACGTAATCCTGTGTAGCAGGAATATGTTTTTCTGGTTTGTATGTTTGTATGTATGTAAATCATTAGATGACCCCGCAGATTAATTGTGCGGCCTGTTGTTGGGGTCCTAAAACTCAGGTTGGGAAGCAATGTTGTAGCAAGTTTACTACAAATTACATATACTCTAAATCACAGTCAGCCATTTTGAAAACCATGCTGCTTTGGTTATTTATTTTCTGTTTGTTTTTTTTTACAATTCAAATATTCTGATTTTCATTAATTTCTGTATGATATGATTGGCAGCCTGAAACAATTTTGACTTACCATGAAATTTATTTAAATTTTCAATGCCTAACTTTTCATTTATTTTTTTTTATTTTTCTGGCTTAACTGGTCTTCCATACTAACCCCAATTCTTCCAGGTCATTTTCTTTCCAATAGATGAGCATGAACACAGAGAAGTTGTAGATGAGTCTGATTTTAAACATGAGATTCCAGTTGATTGAAGGAAACTGACAATGTGTCAGTCGTGCTCGCTCTTCCCTGTCAGCATCACTATGAAACAAAATGTACCCTTAGAGGATTCCCCGGAAATCCAGCCTGCAACATTCGATATTGCACAGCAAGCCGCTTGGTAGTTGGAAGATATCCCCCACGGGCTTCAGAAATGTGTGTATGCATGTGTGTGTTTGTGTGTGTGTGTGTGTGTGTGGGTGCATGTGCAACTTGACAGTCCTGTTTCTGTCATTAATGTCACATCAGTGCACACAGTGTGTCTCTGCGTTCTCCAAGCTGGAATACATTAACACCTCGGTTTATCAAGTCATCCTGCCCATCCTCTTCAGGGGGTGGAGTGGGGGTGGGTTTACACTATACAACATTTGTTCATGTTTTTGTGATGCTTGATGGTTTTTGATTGAATCTAGCTTTATCCTACACTCTAGAGCTGGTGAACCCACAAAGGATGGCTGTTGACACCTTCAGTGTTAATGGATGTGAATTCTATTAAAATTTGTCTTTTTTAGAGATGTAATCCACATTTCCAGAAAAATTAGTGTCTATTTTTCTGTCACTGTTTGAAATGATCTATACAGTATATTACCGCTTTAATTCTTTTCCAGTTAATAAACACTACACTTCCTGTTCCTAACACTCTGGTAGGAAAATTCCTCTTGAACGCAGATAGTAACACATTTTCTCATCTCGGGTTGCATCAGACCCCATGACATTTGTTTGCAATGTAAGAACAACTTGATAGTTTGTATGGATGGTGAAAGCTATTATTGCTGTGCGGAAAAGGTAGAGACAGGACAAAATAGAATGGGTGATTCAGGAAAAGAGAGATCACAGTGCCATCATTTGAACAGAACACGTTTCCTCATTCTTTGCTTCTTTCTGTCGTCAGGTTGAGTTGTATTTTCTACACTGTCCTCCCAAGAAGTCCACACAGCTGCCCTCGCTGCTTCAGAGGAAGCCCTGCTGTAGCGGTGCCCTTTCTTTGTTTGACGGTGCTGAAAAGGCTGCTGTCTCCCCCAATAACATCAGCCTTTGTGGGCAGTGTGTTGAACAGTGGGAGTACGGGTCATCCCTCCAACCACAGAGGAGCCGCAGTCAGCAGGATGTGTGCAAAGTGGAGCTGAAGAGCAGATTTGAAAATGTTACCCTACTGAGTTGCTGTGCAGGATGGTCTTTTATAATAACAACGAATAGATCTGTGTCTGATAACAAAGGTAGCTTTGGTATAAGAACAGAAATGCATAATCCCTCACACGCATGTAATTTGTTGTAGATTATATGTCTTCTCACATCAGTCAGTGAGAGGAAGCTGTAGTTGAATGTGAGGAAAACTTGTTGAAAATCATTGTTAAGCCCAGAGACAGTTGGCACAACTTAGCCTGACTTTCATACGACCCACATGTATTGCATTTGAAATGTCGAAACTCTCCTCGGTACATTTGTCCTCTTCGAAATTCACCCAGTGAGTTCCTAAGGGGCAGGATTAATTTCAGTTTTGTGATCCAGGGGAGGGAAGATATGCCTCCCTCTTTTCTCTTCAGAGGATCCTCCAGCTCTGATAATTGCCACGAGCAGGAACAGTTTAAATAAAACATAGACTATGGTGATGCTGGGCGACTGAGGGGCCAAAAGTCTGCAGGGAGGACAGAGATCAAGCAGGGATCAGTGTTTCTCTCTAATAGTGAAAAAGCTTGAGACAACACAACAGAAATGTCAGTCTCCTCGGCATATAAAGGGAGCAGAAAGGGAAACTGCTTCGTCAGAGTGGACCT